ATAAAAATTAAAATTTCTGTGTGTTCCTACTCCTTAAGCACGCTACAACAAATCACATTAGTTAACTTACTTATAAAATTTATTGTTAGCGATTAATCTTTCACTAATGTTATTTAAATATTTAAAAATGAACATCACATAGAATTATTTATATTTTTTATTTATCAAAAAATAAAATACTTTTAAGAAAATCTCACTTTATAAAGTAGAAATATTTTCCTTAATCTTTTTTGATAATTTGTCCTTTTAGAAATAATCCACTTACGGAGTTGTGCGTGGCTCTATATGATTGGTCAAATACGTAAAACGATGCGCGAGATATCGCCAAAAGGAAACCCAACACAGAGAGATGCTACTAATACGCAACCAAAATAAAAAAAAATCGAAAAACGAGAAAATACAAGAGAAGATAAAAAAAAAAAAAGAAGCGGTGAGAGGAGAATGAAGGTAAGATAAGAACGAAGATACACCACAGCCTAAACCCTAGCTCGAAAATATCGCGATAAATCGAAAAAATTATTGAAAGCTGCGACCTCCGTTTATCTCTCCGTCGGCATTGACCAATCTCTCACACTCCGTAAGCTCCAAATTTCTCGCTATTCTCATTCTCTCATTAATCATCTCATCTTCATCTTTTTTATTCATTTCACCCTTTTAATTTGTCTTAAATTCAGATGATTTTCTGTATCTATGAAATCTATTTTCGCATGTGTTTTAATTCGACATTGGATATTAGATTTCATTCCCCATATGATTGGGGAAAAGATTTAATTGAGTTTGTTTGGTGCTTTGTTATGTGTTTTCAGAAAATGAGTAAAATGAAATATTATAATTTGATGAATTTTCCTCCTGGTTCCATCTAAGATGCTGGACTACACTTGTTATATCTTAATGAAGTTCACTAAACCACTTGATTTTTTATTCAAGTGCATTGGTTTAATCATTGAATCATCATGGTTAATGCCAGTGTGTTGTATTTTCAATGAGGTTCTTATTTTATCATCTGGTTTGATCTTTTTGTGTAGGTTATCATATACTATTCCACTGGAGCTACGTGCATTCTAAGTAAGTTGAAGCGTAGATTTCAATACTTATTGGGCATTTTACCACCCCTATTTTTTATTTGAATGTTTTGTTGACTTAACCCTTTGTTACTTTGATGCCAATGTAATAATTAGCAGAACTAAAGAACGTGTATAATGTGTTGACTGTGATTTATTTTTATTTTAACACTGGTAGTGGTTCGAGAAAAAGATGTTTGTTGGGAATATGCAGAGAAATTGGATGGAAATAAGGTAAGATGTAAATTTTGCCAAAGAGTTCTGAATGGTGGCATTAGTAGGTTGAAGCATCATTTGTCTCGATTCCCAAGTAAAGGGGTAAATCCTTGTAGCAAGGTCAGAGATGATGTTACAGATAGAGTAAGGGGTATAATAGCATCAAAGGAAGAGGTCAAAGAAACCCCTAGTGCAAAGAAGCAAAAACTAGCAGAAGTCAAGTCTCCTGGTAATCTTTCGGCAACTAAAGCTATTGTATCTTTGGATGCAGCATCCCCTATTATGAAGATTTTCCCTACTGGCAATTCTATGACCCCTTCCTCAACAAACAACCAAGAGAATGCAGAGAGAAATATTGCTCTCTTCTTTTTTGAGAATAAGCTAGACTTTAGTGTTGCAAGGTCTCCATCCTATCAGTTGATGATTGATGCCATTGCTAAGTGTGGTCCTGGATTTACAGGTCCATCAGCAGAAATCCTAAAAGCAACATGGTTGGAAAGGATAAAATCAGAAGTGGGCTTACAGTCGAAAGATGTTGAGAGAGAGTGGGCTACCACAGGTTGTACCATTATTGCAGACACTTGGACTGATTATAAGTCAAAGGCCATCATTAATTTCTTAGTCTCATCACCATCCAGGACTTTTTTCCATAAATCAGTGGATGCCTCTGCATATTTCAAGAATACAAAATGGCTAGCTGATCTTTTTGATTCTGTAATTCAAGAGTTTGGCCCAGAAAATGTTGTGCAAATTATTATGGATAGCAGCTTTAACTACACTGGTATTGCTAATCATATTGTGCAGAACTATGGAACTATTTTTGTTTCTCCTTGTGCCTGTCAATGTTTAAACCTAATCTTGGAGGAGTTCTCCAAGGTTGATTGGATTAGTAGATGCATTTTACAAGCACAAACCATATCAAAGTTAATATACAATAATGCCTCATTGCTTGATCTTATGAAAAAGTACACTGGAGGCCAGGAACTAATCAGGACTGGGATCACAAAGTCTGTATCCACTTTCCTGTCTTTACAGTCTATGTTGAAGTTAAGAGCAAGGTTGAAGACTATGTTCCACAGTCATGAATTTGCCTCAAATACTTCCTATGCAAATAAACCACAGAGTCTTTCTTGTATTGCAATTGCTGAAGATGGTAATTTCTGGGGGACAGTGGAAGAGTGTGTGGCCATCTCTGAGCCTTTTTTGAAAGTATTAAGGGAAGTATCTGAAGGGAAACCAACTGTAGGTTCCATATATGAACTAATGACCAGGGCCAAAGAATTAATCAGGACATACTACATAATGGATGAGAATAATAAGTGTAAGACATTCTTAGATATAGTAGATAAAAAGTGGCGAGACCAACTCCATTCACCTCTACATGCCGCTGCAGCCTTTTTGAACCCAAGTATTCAATACAATCCAGAAATAAAATTTCTTTCTTCTATAAAAGAAGACTTCTTTAATGTTCTGGAGAAATTACTTCCTGTGCCTGATATGAGGCGTGACATCACCAATCAAATCTATACTTTTACAAAGGCACATGGGATGTTTGGCTGTAGCCTAGCAAAGGAGGCAAGGAATACAGTTGCACCATGTAAGTTTTAAATAATCCCCTTCATCCATTTTTGTCTCTCAGAGTGAGCCAATTAAGCTTCTTTTCTTTCAATCCAACATTAAATTTTATTGATATTAGTTTCAGCCTTGAGTTAAAGATAATAAAGACCTTCGATTTTGGGGTAAAAATGTGCATCAAGCTATTGAGCCTAATTCTAGAACTATGTTCCAGTCCAGAAAAAGTGTTTTATTTTGGGCGCACAGCATTTGAAAATTTAATTCAGCCAATGTCAGTCTAGGAACAGCTTGTTTCATTTGGTTTAATTGTCATTTATATTCTTATATTTTTCTTGGAATGGGTATCGCATCAGGCTGAATTGCTGAACTGTGTCTATCACTATGTTAATGCTTTTGGTGTTCATCATTATTTTTCGGAATACAACAGAACAACACATGTTTCTAACATGTTGATAGTGATTTCTGGACCAAGCCTTGTTCTCAGGCATCATAACAATTGCTTTACTGAAGCAGTTGCAACAATGCTAATTATTGCAGTCTGTTATTTATCTCGTAGCATGGATTTTTACCAGCATATTTTTATAAGAATGTGATTTTTGTTGTTTACTATTTGCATTTTTCGATTGTTTCATTTGCAAAACTTTTGGTACCACTACACAGTAGGTTTAGTTATTAATATTATGATCACTCATTGCTTATTCGGTGTAGGGCTTTGGTGGGAACAGTATGGTGACTCTGCTCCAGGTTTGCAACGAGTTGCCATCAGAATATTAAGTCAAGTTTGTAGCACCTTTTCATTTCACCGGCAGTGGAGTACCTTTCGGCAAATTCACTCTGAGAAGCGGAACAAGATTGACAGAGAAACATTGAACGACCTTGTTTATATAAACTACAATCTCAAGTTAGCCAGGCAGATGAATGCAAAATCTTTGGAAGTTGATCTGCTTCAATTTGATGATATTGACATGACTTCAGAGTGGGTGGAGGAGAATGAAACTGCAGGTCCAACTCAGTGGCTAGATCGTTTTGGTCCAGCCTTGGATGGCAATGATTTGAATACTAGACAGTTTGGTTCTTCTATATTTGGTGCAAATGACCCCATATTTGGATTGTAATTTTGTATCCCATTAATTTACTCATGTAGCATAGCAAGTGTCCTTTCTAGTTCTAGGTCATGTTCGGCCATGAAATAGGTCTGTCATTTTTCCTTGTAGGAATGTATCTGAAAGTGTAAAGACAGGACTCTATTATTTGTCTCCCTTTCTCTACTCTCAACCAACGTCCCCATGCAAGTATGCGTGTGGCCGTGTGGGAGCATAGGATCACTGATTAATGTATTATAATTTTGTTGTATTGGAATATAGAAATTCAACAGTTTTCACATTTTAATTTAGTTACAAAAATGTTAGCGGAAGTTATCGAGTCTCACATTGATATAATTAATTCTCAGTGGAAAGTATATAAATCACTATTTCACGAGAATAAGAATACAACTAATTTTTGAAGGAGAAAACCAACTACCAGCACCAATTTCAACTACGATTTACGTATTGCAATAGTATTACAAATTATATATTAATAAAAAAATTTAAATTCAAACTCAAATTTTGTTGTAAGCATAAACAAGTAGAGTATGCATGATAACATAAGCTTATAATTGGTTTAGGAGTTTATAATATTTCTTAGTAAATAAAATAGTAGAGTTATTTAGTAAATAAATAAAAAAAGAACTTGATAACTTCTGAAAAGAAGCATATAGTCTTTAAAAATTAACTTCTAAAAAATATTTTATAAGTAACATGTAACTTATTAAAAAATAGTTTTTTTAGTTCTTTACTTTGAAAATAATTCATACTTGTACAAAATAATTTCACCATATTTTAATTAATTAAACATAACCAATTAACTTCTAGCCAACTTATCAAATATAAGCTATAGTTATAAGCTTTAAGTTAATTTTATTAAACAAAATCATAAGCTTTTAATTAACTTATCAAATATATGTTCTTGACTAATTTTGCTAATATCAGCTTTAGTTGATTGACCAAATTTTGCCATCTATAATTTTTCATTTTCGCACTCCATTCATTTGAGTGGAAACGCATAGTTCATACATACATATGACTGTGCTACAAAAATATCAACTTTGATTGGTCAAATAAACAAAAATGAAATCACAACTATTTTTTATTAGTCAAAAAGAAAATTTTGGCAAGGCACACGTTTCTTTCCCTTTCCCACGCGACGGCAGCGAGCTTTGTTCTTCGATGGATTACGATTTCAGAAACAGGTCGGGCCCACAAGTTCCAATGTACCGTCCGCCACTGTCAAACATGTACCCTAAGATCTCCCCCCACGGCGCCGCCGCCACCGGCCGGCCGTCACCGTATCAGCATAATCCTTCTTCATCACCTTCTTGTAAGTCTTTACCTCAACAAATTCCGAAACGAATTGCTCCATTTTCCCCCCATTGATGCGGACCATTAGGGATCTAATTTTCATTTATTTTCCGTTTTTCTTGTAATTTATGGAAAATGACAATTTTTTTTTTTGATTATTCACGTGCACGGTTCAAGAGTGGTGAAATTGATTTTTCCTATTGAATTTGCAGCAGGATTAGGGATTAAGGTTGCGATAAAGCCAGAATATAGGATCTCTGCACCGGTAAGATTTGCTTTGATCGTTTTTGGTTTTGTTGTGAATTGAGAGAATGTGTAGCATTTCTAACTTATTCTACATTGTAATTCTTTGCTCCTCGATGCTTGTGAGTTGTGTGTGAAGGATTTTGTAATGGAGATGACATGCTTCCTTTGTGAAGTTCATTTTCGATGTTGGTTTCATCTTACTCTAAAGCAGGGTGTATTTTGGGTATAAATGTTGATGGAAAAAACCAACGGTTTAGATGGTTAAATAGAGCATAAGTAATCTATGGATTTATGAAATAGGTCTTTTAATTTTTTCACTAATGGTTAGTTGGTTACCCATTGAGTGAAGTGCAAACTTCTGTTGTTTAACTGAGGCTTCTAGATGCTACTTTTTCTTGTTTGAATTACTTATATGTTACTTTCTCTGTTCAACTTCATCCATTACTGTACCTCTTATTGACAATGGGTCGCTGCTTTGAGAATTTCATTTTATTCATACTTTTGCATGTTTGTCCTATCTGGATGGTAAATGCTTGTCTTTTTTTTCCTATCCTTCTGTATTCTTATTGGTCTCAAATATTACATGAATAAGGGAATATAGCATTATGAGATGGTTTTTATCGGATGCATTACAGCTCAGTTAGCAGGAGTTGATTATATGGTTGTTTATACACAATCAATTGGAGTTTGTTAATACTAACTTTAGCAATATTTTTGGCATAAATTTCATTTTGAGGTTGTTCTTCTGCATACCAAGTTTGTGAAAGCACTGGAGATTGACTTGGGTCTGTTTTGACAATTGAATATGGTTTTTGAGTGGTTGTGACAATTTTGCAGCCTCATTTATCACCGCTTGCTGGGGATATTCCACGGAGCAACTTCCAATTTGATTTTGGATTGGAGAGAAGAATTTTGGCTGAAGCAGAGAAGGATAACCCAAATTGGAGCAAATTTGGCTCAGAAAATATTCCGACTAAAGTTCCTAATTCATCATCATCAAAGGTTGTTCTTGATTTACAGCAACAAGTTCCAATTTATGCTATTATAATCTGTGCTAATGAACTTTTTTATTTTGCCAAATTTGTTATGTAGAGTTATAGCTTACTATTTGCTAGTTCATGATAGATTTGGTACATTGATTTTCTGTATTTAGATAAATCATTTACTGTTTTCCAATCCTCACAGTGTAAAATGAAACTTTTTTTTCAGGTTACTGTGTCAGATCCTGTTGTGAGCAAATATATAGCTATGGGGCTTAGCCGAGAGGCAGTTCCCATTGCTGTTACAAATTATGGTGATAATCCAACCAAAGTATGTTATTGATCACTGTAACTCATTATTGACATGGTGTTTCGGATAATAGCATTGCTTAAAAGTATGATTATGTTTCTGAGAAATAATATGTCAAACATCTCTCTCTGTAATGACCATGCAAACTGAACAATTCACTGAAAATTAAGTGGCATGTCTTCCTTTGATACTAGAATTTTTCCTCCAAATTAATATGGTGAGTGTATGTTTAGTCATCAAGTTGATCATTTTTACAAGAATGATAGAAAGTGATCTGTTTGATAATTACCTAAACATTTATATGCAACTTTGAATGTCTTGCTGGATCTGATTGTCTACTGCTTCTGTCCACCCCATCCCTTTGTGTTGGTAAGAAGAGTAACTTTGGTATTCTGTGGAGTCTACTGATTCTGATTATTGCAGGTGTCGATGATCAATAGATGTTGGCATGTTGTGCCTTAAGCCTAAATGGAAAAGTTTCAAACAAATTTTCTATTCATGTAGGCAAGTTGTTGACTTCTTGTTTGTATTCTGCTAAAGCTTTTCCACCTGTCATCTGGGGTCTGCTCCCAGTTCAAGTGTAACTACTTGTCAACCTGATTGTGGGAAAGCCCTTTCTTAGCATGAGAGAATTTCAGGAGCTTTTCCCAGCTTGGATCTTAACTTTTCACTTTGTCATTCTTATATGATTAGCACTACTAACTGCCCAACAGGGTTGCCATACTGAAAAAGTACATGCACTGGATGGGTCTTTGTATTGTTTATGTTGACCACATTGGCTGCATGCTTTTATGAATTTTGAAGTAATCATTTCAACATGTTATCTGCTGATTGCTGGTTTCAATACCATCTTCTGGTGGTTTAGTATTTTTCTTATTTAGAGCATGATAGCTAGTATCGCACAATTTGCGATATGATACTTCTGATTCAATGTGGTTTAGGAACAGAGGAATAGAGATCGTAGGATAGTATTGGTTTCGTCCAAAAGTGCTGCTGGAATTGTATGAATTGCAAGAATCGGTGTTGAATTACAATTCTTGTGGATGGCACATGATTCCACTGCAAACTGGGTCACGCACCAATCGGGTCAAGTTAACGTAACCCAGTTCACTAAAAACTCTGAAAAACCTATTTTTTTTAATGCAAAATTTGAGATTTCCGCTTGATACTCTCTGCGAGACCCACTACTTTATATTCAAAGAAAACCTTTGTTTCCTCATTCCCGTGCTCTGCACCTCTTCTCCTGTATTAGTGTTTTATACTGAAGATTTCTGGTGGTCCCCTAAATTTTTTTCTTATTCTCGTGTTCTGCTCTTCTCACTCTCCTGCCTCTTCAATAGTTATTATTTTCTATTGGTCTTCTCCTATCTTTTTTGCTTGCTATTTGATGTTTGGGGAGACAAATGGATCCTACCCAAAAAAATAAAAGAGAGTGATATCATGTGCAAGGATGAAACATCATCTAGCTGAAATAAGGGTAAATGTAAGTGCCTGTACAAGTGTTATTGTGACTGATGTGACTTGAATCATTATACTATGTTTCATTTTATTAGTTATAGAATGAGGTATTGGATTATAAAATGTCAATATATGGATTAATTTAATTTTTTTTATGTTAGAATATTTTTTATTATAATTTTAACAATTGGTTATAAATCTCATGATTCATGATATAGTTCGATTCACGATCAGAAAATGAGTCTTTTGATTCATGATTCAAATCTTGATTTAACTACCATGATTTAGAGTAGTACTGATTTGTTTTTTGCTCTGCACATGCCACAGCCACAGCCACACTAGTAGCAGATGTGTTGCAGTCTCTGTTGATTACTTTGTTTTCTGACTTGGTTTATTTTTCATTTTAAGGTTCAGGAATTTGTCAATGGGTACACCCTTCTGCGGGAAATGGGATTTTCCTCAAATAGCGTTGCTGAAGCACTGGTTATGCATGACAATGATACAGACAAGGCACTAGCACATTTCCTTAGTGGCTCATCATGAGAGTCCTGAATCATACATGTTGTAGGTATCGTTTATTGATAAAGAAATATGTTAGTTCCCTTTGTATAGCGATGAATGATGGGCAAATATAGGTAGGAACATGGGCAATCTGTTATAGTCTATTGTTTCACATACATATATTTTATAAAGTGCTGGGGTTGGTTTGAATGCATTGAGTGTTTTTAGAGAGAATATTACTCGGTCGTTGGATTTCATTTCAGAAATGCCATATCCCTTTTACTAAAATATTCTATTATGTTTGCTTTGGACCGAGATCCTCAGCAGTAACTGCTTCCTGCAGTTGGTCTGTTAGTGTACTAACTGCGGTGCAAAAAATGCAGAGGATCCCGGCCAGTTAGCTTTTTGCTAAGACTTTAAATTTCAAGCTCTTCTGTGGGCTATACTAAAGACCAATGAAAGTACTTGTGTTATGGCTGAACCAAAATGGAAATAATAATCGCTTATGTTATTTAACTCTTTCCATAGAAATTTTGAAAGTACGAGGGAAGAACTATGGTGGTTATGGTGGATTAAATTTGGTATAATACGTACATGAAAAATTAAAGACTTGTTTGGTTGGACCGATTCTAGTTTTCATTTTCAATAAAACAAAAATTGAAAGAAAAAATTTGTTTTCGTTTGCTCACTAGAGGTTGACAGTGAAAGGTTCTAATGTTTAAGTTGTCACTTCAGTGGGGTTTGGTTGGTTGTGATGACTTGCGAGTTGGGAGTTGGGGATGGCGATGCTAGTTGACACATCATGGTGGTAAATTCTGGTGGCTCCCATCAGCAGCAAACCGTAGACGGTTGAGGTGGGAGTTCTCATTTTGAAAATGGACCATCTAAACAAAAACAACTAAAAAACGTTTTTTTTTTTTTTAAAGTTTTAGAACATGTTTTTTTTATTTAGTTATAAAACTGTCAATTGTTGTATTCTATTTTCAAATTTATATATGAAACAGTAAACATTTTAAAGAATTAATAGTCTATACAACTCTTTGAAAATAAAAATAAGGTATGTTTATAATTTAAAATATTAATATATTTTTTTTAAAAATAAAATAGTACCAACATTTTCTAAAATTTTAAAAAATTGAAATTTACTCGTTTTAAAATAAAAGTGATAATGAAATATAATATTTACTTTTATAATTCTGATAATAGTCACCTAAATATATTGCTTGGCTATATTATAAATTAAGTTAAATTATATATTTAGTTTCTATAATTAATATTTGTATAAAAATAAATTTTTATGCTTAAAAAAGTTACGTTTCAATCTCTACACGCACATTTTGTTACGTTTTGGTTCATGTCGTTATGATATTATAATGATAGGGACTAAAACGTATTAAAGTATTTATATAAAAATTAAAATATAAACTTTTTAAAGTGTAGGAACTAATTCATAAACAAATATTAACTATAAAAATTAAAAGTATATTTTAAATAATTTTTTTTAGTGAATTTGTTTATAAAAAATTAAAAATGAGTCATCAAATAAGAGAATCATGAATTTTAAAAATACTGAAAACTCATATTTAAATCAAATATTATTTATGATCTTAAATCATAAATAAATAATAATAATTATAATTAATAAAATACTAAGAATAATTAATATATGACAAAAAAAAAACTTATTACAGTTAAAAAAATATTTAAACATATTAGCCTTTTTGAGTTTAGTATAAAATCTAATTGATAGATAAAAAAGCAAAAATATATAATGATAAAAATTTTATAAATTCATTCATATAATAAAATTGATCTTCTAAACTTGAGTAATAGTGTAAATTTCACATTTTAAATATAATAAATATTTTATTTTTATATGAAAAAAGTATTTTTTTAAAATATTATAGAAATTGATAAATCATATAAAAAATAAGTTTAATTAAATGATTGATCCCTACAAAAGTTATATAAATACTTAATTAAAATACTTAAGTTCAAATTGTATAATTCTTTTAAAACTATAAATAGTTAAAATACATATTTAATTTCTGTATTTGACATGTTTATGAATTAGTCTATGTACTTAAAAAAAAATTTACGTTTTAGTTTCTATACTTAAAAAAACTTATATATTAATTATTATACTTAAAACAACAAATATTTTAATTCCTATCTACATACTTTATTATAATTTAATCTCTTTCATTATTAACGTCGTTATAATAACATAACCTAAAACGTTAACTATAAGGACCAAAATGTAAAAAAAAAACCTTTTTTAGAGACTATAATATTGCTTTTAAGTATTGAGACTAAGTTGTAGATGTGTGTTAACTATAGAAACTAAATGTATAATTTTAACCTATAAATTATGTGATATTGAGAGGTTTAGAATTGCATTACTTCACTCGTGAATTGCAAGTCATTAACGATTTATTGCGATTTATCACATGACACAAATATTGGCTAACCAAATTGTATTAATAAAGTTGTAAGTTTCTAATAATATGTTGTTAACTTGTATAATAAAACATAAAACCATTGCTTAAAATTCCGTGTCTCTGCCATGTACAAAAGCAAAGATCCCTTTACTACAAAAGAGATGGTCAGCCACCATATCTCTCCTATAAACATTTTTCATTAGTACATTTTGGAAGTTCTTCTACAAAGAGTCATCTTCCCCTACGGTCATGGAATGAATGAAAGAAACATAGAATGATACATAAAACAACTTATAGGTGGAAAACTGAGTTTTTATTTGTGCTTTATGACGTTGCATGCCTTTGGTAACCGCCCAATTTGCCAACTGGTGTTTCACAAGCTAATGGAACATATTACTCAATGAATTTCAAATTTAGAACTAGAAGCAACTGTTTAACAGACATCTGTAGGAATCAATCCGCTTCCAATAGAAATAAAAAAGATCTTAGGAAGCAAACCTTCTAACATTTGGTGTCTCCTGTGTATTACGTTGGCAGTCTTCTCACAAGAATGCACTGGAATAAACTCAAACACCGGCACAAATAGCTCCTGAAAAATAAAATCATGTTGTATCACCCTGAAGTTGCAAACGAAATTTAACACATAATTTTTAGAGATTTTAAGTCAGCCCAAACTAATGCCATGAACTTGAACTTTAAATTAGCACGTGCACATGCAACACACACAAATGGAGAGAGGGGGAGACCTGTCGACCAAGACGAACAACAAAACTTTGCCTCATCAACATGCTTCACATCAAGCCCAATAAACCAGGATCCAGCACTCACGTCATCATGAGCATAGGTACGAAGAATAGATCTGCCAACTCAACAGATTTAAGACTGATGAATAAACCACAGCAGCTAACAGTATAGGGGCAACTGAGAGTGTATCTGACCTGTTTATTGATATGAATTTAGCTAAAGCTCGTGATATGACATACATCTCTCCTGATGCATGACGAAAATATCTGTTGAACAGAAAATTTGATCACCGTTACAAGGAGATAACATGAAGAAAAATATTGATGATACTAGGTAACACTTTCCAAATTGTGCACCAAAACGCTAGATACATGAAATATTCAACTTGGTTTCCAGCTCTGCTTGGTTTTGATCCTCAACTAGCACATGACAATAATGATGCAATCAAGCTATATTTTGCAGGGACTTCTTATTTTGGCACTACAAAGTATTTTCATGACACACAATAGGCTTCTCCAGAAAAGATTGCAAAAGTAAAAACTGTATTGCAGTTTTCACTTATGGGATTGACAAACTGAGAATTGCAGAATACCGTGCAAAAAACCTTAGTTTGACCAAAGATCCACTTGCAGCTATTAAAAAATGGTCAATATGGTCTCAAATATGACTAATTTATATGAGTTTGACATGTAGTAAAAGTAATGCAATTGTTCAACTATACGAAATAGCTGGTTGCTTGGCTTACGATTTTTTGTCACCAAATTTCCACCACTCTGGTTCATACCATTTATGGTTCCTGTCATATTTCATAGCCACCAGTATGAGAATCATATAATATATTCTCTGTAAAGCACATAACATTTTGAGTAACATAAGGGGCTCACAGTTCAGAAAAAACTTCGCCTGATTTCATGCATCCCATGTAAATGCGAGGTTTGTCCAAATGAGTTGCAAGTGTAGCTCCCAAGGCATCTATGCAGTATCAAACAAGTTGTAAGACATACATACATCTAAAAATGTGAAACAACTCTGGAAATTAACTAAATAGGGGGAAAGAAGCACACAATAAAATGTTATATATTTAGAAGGAAGAATGCTAACTTTTCATTAAGAGTATGAGAATATATCTAAGAATTCATTCTTAAAAGAAATATATTTAGATAAGAAAAGTGATTTTTGTACATGTTAAAAAAAAAATTTAAAAATAATTACATAATTTTTAATTCAAAGCAATTAAAGAATATTGTTTAATAAAAAAGTTACTTTTAATGTTATATTTTTCTTATTAATTTTAGAAACCTTCAAACCATCCCTGTGTATCCTCATAAACCAACTGATTTAATGTTCTTTTCCAGAAAAACTATGCGCAGTTTCCAGTGCATCTGTACCATTGCAACTATTGCTTTGCCTATAGCTCTTGATCTGTGCTCAAATGTTAAACTTTGAGACATGCAACATGCAACTAAACACCAAGTAAAATGAAGTTTGAATGTTTTAGAATTCATCATGGATTTCTGTCATGTAGCTATTAAATCTAGGCAAGCATTCACTTGACATATATCACAAAGAACCATATAAGAAAGAATGTACACGTGTATTTGCAGATTAAGAAAACCAGAAAAGGAAAGACCATGACTACAAAGGAAAAAGAAAAAACCTTCTGTTTCTTCCATCCAAAAATTGATAATTTTTCAAACAAGATTATCAAAACTGGTTTAAAGATATGAGCTTATAAAGCCATCATTCAAATTTTCTACAACAGCATAAAAGAGCGCCTATGCAATCTGCAAATTGCAATTTCACATGGGTATGAAGAACTTATGGCAAAAAAAAGTGATTCTATGATATCGCTTTCTTTGAAGTTTTTCAGCAGAAGCTATTTTTTTTTCCTCTTCAACAAAAGACGGAAATAAAAAAGCAAAATCAAATCAACCTAAGTAACTAAAGAATAAAAATAAAGAGAGGCATACCCAGATTAAAGAACGAATAACCCTACCCGCAAATCCAAATCAAGATGCAGAGGAGGAAAAATGTCAGGAAAGATTAGACTTGATGGAAGGGCCAGAAAGATATGCCAGGGAATGATCGAGGAGAGGAAGATGGAGGTAAATTATTAATAATTCATTAAAACTTTAATAAGCACCACTTTATGCTGGCAGGAAACTCAAGGCATATAATCATATTCCTATCTGTACCAATGGAGTTCTGTAATGCATAGAATTATTTATCTGTGGAGTTCAATTAAGAGATAAAAGGAGCATATTACAATAATGTTGAATCGAAATATTACACAAAATGCACTATTAACAATTATCACCTCATCTAGTCAAAGAAAAACTAACCAATATTTACATAAACATCATCATTGACTTTAGCATAAAACTCAGCATCCCATTCGTCTGCAGCATGAGCAAAGAACAATTTAGCCTTCTTTGGGAATCCATTATTTGTTTCCACATGATTATCCTGTCAGCATAAGTTTTGAAGGTGATGAGCTAACTAACTTATACTTGAAACATATGTTATGAGCATCAACCATGTTAACCATCTATAAGTGCCAATTTATTACTTTAATCTTATATATGTACTTGCTCATCTAAACTACTGTTTGCAAAAAAACATTGAGAGTATAGGATCACACAAGAGTTGATGTCAATTCAATATTGGTGTCAACTCAAATATAGACCTGTATTTGGGGCTTCTATGTTTTAATACAAGTGATAAGTGATATTAAACATTGGAAACAGAAGAATAAAATAATAAAATGCTCAGTGAAATAACTACGTAAAAAATACAGCAGTTATTGAAACAAAGGTTTGTCAGTAACAGATTGGTCTAACTTTCTGAGCAGTTGAAGCTGGTGACAAATTGGTTGTGATAGAATTCTCAGTGGTGAAATTTTCTCCTATTCAAACATTTATAATGTTTGCTTGGGCAGAAACATTATAGAAATCTAAATTATCTAATATGAAAATTATACTCTGGAAGTTCCATTTCCAAATAAGTATGAGAAATTTCACTTAGATTTTCACAGAAAAGCGAATGCCAAATGACATACCTAGAATATCCAGCAAAATTAGCTGTTCTAATAAAATAGAAAACTTCTAAGCACATGAAGAGATAAAATCCTTAAATTAATTAAACATACAAGAATTAAGAAGTCATTAGTCAGCCTATTCTCACGATCAATGTCTTTATCCAGACTGTCCCCGCGATTGGCACTGCAAAGGTATATGTCATTTATAAGAAATGGTTCCAATTGAACTCCACCCCAACCCAAACAAGTCTAAAAGTTGGAATTTAAACCTTCTACCAATAACAAATCGAACAATGATGCCCTTTCCATCTTCAATTTTCTTCAATGCTGCACCTATAGAGATAGTTCTTTAAAATTAAAATCTCATCTGTACCACAATCTTAGAGAAGAAAGCTGCTAACAAACTACCCAAGCAATAATATTTCATGATCGCTAGAAATAACTATGTTCAGAATCAAAGAACTAAATTATTACATGTGATATACTATAAAACAGAGTTGCATTATAGATTTTTCTTATGAGCCTAGATCAATACAAGATATTAAAGAAATTAAAATACATCATCAAAGTAAAGAGTAGATCATTCTCCTGGGAGGTAGGAAAATAAAAGTGGAGAGTTCCTCTAGTCGCTTTATCTGTACCTTAACTCATTATCAACAGGTTCTGTGCAGCACTGGATTAAAAAATGCCATATTTTTCTGTTTTTGAACTCAGTCATATCAGCTCATGACAAAGTGGTAATATTAGTGTGTACTGTGTAGAGTTCAGATTGCACTTAAATTCCTTACATCAAGTTTTATATTTACTGCAATGTCATTCATTTTGAAAAGAACCTATTTAGACAAGTGTATACTCAAGACTCAAGTTAGACATAGTAATGGGCATGGTAGAGTTCTTAACAATGTTACTGACTTATGTCACTGAAGGAGAGAAAGTGAAGAATATAATTACCACTTCCCATCCATGCCTTGCGAATTGCATCTCTATTCTTCTGGCGGCCAAACTTTGTCAGTATTCCTATCACTACCAACGGCCTTCTCTTAGAGTAAGTCCCATTAGTCTCTATCAAGGGCTTTGAAACAAAACCCTCCTGTCTAGCTGCAGCAAGTTCCGTCTCAAGGGCATCAAGCTTCTTATGTTGTTCCCTAAACAATCACATAATTAAAAAGCACGGCCTTAAAAAACTTTCGAACACCAAAGCATATCATTAATAAAAATCAAATAACAATAAAAAAAATATTGCAACTATTTTTTAAAGAGTACACTTTAGTAAATTTAATTCACCTGCAGGCTATGATCTTCAAAGTATCATCCACTGATATAGCAGATTGTCCCTAGAATGAAAACCTTGAAGTTAAGTTAGCCAGAATAATAAAAAGTAGAGCCGCGTGTCCATCTAATGTGTGTGTCAAACTAAATAACATAGCACCCCACAGTTGATTTACTACAGTGTGAATCCTTGATCGGTTGATCCTTAACAGTAACACACACGATCAACCAGTGCTCAAATTCAGAAAATAGATAATATCAGTTGAAATTCAAACGCAATAAAAAAAAAAATCACGAAAACGCATTCTCGCACAGAAATTAGATCCTTCACTCCATTCAGCTGAATCAGTAATTTAAAACGCTGCAACGATAACGTTGATCCGTCCTTACGCAAACTAAAGCGATAACGCCGTAATCGAAATTGCAGTGAAAAAAAATAAAATAAAATTGAAGGATTACGGATAGATGAAGAGTGAGCAGTAGTAACTGACCTGGCCGGTGATTCTATCGAGTTCCTTGATGAGATAAACGCGATTCTCTGCGTCCTGCCATAACCTGAGGAGGAAAATTGAGGACAATGAAATTAAATTAAATTAAATTAAGCGAAACAGCAATGAAATTGAAAGTAGAGGAAGAACCTTCCAGCGACGTAGATGGAAGCGAAAGTAGCGAACATGGAGATGAGGAGTGAAGGAATGCGGGATCGATTAGCCATGCTTGAAAGTCTCTGACTGGATCCCTTGCTCTGCATTTCTAAATTCCAATTCAATTCAACGTAATCCTATGATTGAAATGAACGATGATGATGTGCTGATGCAGAGAGAGAGAGAGAGAGAGAGAGGTGGTGGTTGGTACTTGGTGCTGGTCAACACAGTCAGTGACCAGCTGTGCACCCCCTTTGCCCCTTTGTTTCTCCTTTGCTTCTGTCTCCTGTCTTCTCTTTTCAAGGAAACTATATTTTCCACCCTATCAAATATCAATCAAAATAGGGCATTAATTTTGATACATTTCAGATCTTGATTTCATTTTCCTAGCCAAATTATCCCCATTTTCTTGTAAACGTATATCAATATGTTTGAATGTTGAAAGTGAAATATAAGGAATGATATCAATATTTAAAGAATTTAATTAAAATAGTCATTCAATCATATATATGGTTGTGAACCAAAAAAATCATATACATGATGAATAATTTTTATTGTAATTAATTATGAGTTATATTTATATTTATTTTTATTTTAATTAACTAATTTCATAAAAATTTATATTTATAATATATTAAAATTGAACTCATATATTTTTATTTTATTTTATTTACAATTTTTATTGCATAGAATCTATCTTCATACTATTAATTATACTAATTGTATTTTAAAATGAGATATACACACTTTCATTTTCATATAATCATGAATTTATTGTTAAATATATTTTGTAAGCCTTCGTGTCAAATTAAATTGTTTATATATTATTATTTTTCTTTAATTAATTATCTAATGAAAGAATAATTTAATTTCTTTAATTATTTTAATCATTATTTATATTTCTTCAATTAATATTAAGTATAATAGGATCATTTTAAAATATAATTAAATAATAATTGAAATCATATTTATTTAATTATAATTTTGATTTTTCTAGTTTAAGTTATATATGATTTAAATCTTTTAATTTTTTAAAGTTAATTAAGTAAAATTTGGTTCTGCCAATTTGTTTATAGTGAAAATTTCTCAAATTACTATTTTTTTAATCTAAATATTTAAGATTTCATGATGGATTTGAGATATGAAATAATTTAAAAGAATTTATAGACTATGATATTATGATTTGAATAAGAGAAAATTGAAGTTTTGTATTTTGAAATTTGATGTTATGAAAAGTTTTTAGTATAAAAATATTAAAAACAACATAATTGATTTGATTAGTGAAATTTTATAATTAGTGGAAAATAAAAATTAAGGATTTCTAATAAAAAAATGATGATAAGAATAAATTGTCTTTTTTACCAAAAAAAAATTATGTGAATTGAGTCTCGAAAACTCGCTAAAATTAGGGCGTGTCTTAAGACTTATATCATCATAGTTAGGGCATCTTTCAAGGTTAAAAAGTATTTGTAGAAATGCTAAGAAAAAACAAAAACCCTCTACAACCTCTGTCCCTTAAAGCATTAGAAAAAAACACATACACTCACAACGTTAAATATTTTATTTTGAATTGAATGATCGTTTTTGGCTTAATTGATAATTAGTTTGGCTATTGTTTCAACTGGCCATTGTCTCTTTTTAGCTTAGGAAAGAGTAACAAAAACGTTGATATAATAAGAACGTTGTGTTGTTTTAAGAAATGCTTTTTGGGGGGGTGGAAATTAAAACAAGAAACGTATGATAATAAATGGCCGACACCCAAAACACATAGGATATAATAATAATAATACAGTCATAGGTGTGTTTGTGGAAAGAGATGATATCCAAGTTGCTTCAGGAGAGATGTGGTTCAAACTGACCTCCCAATCAGTTTTCAACACTACACTTCAGAGAGATTTTCTAGCATGTTTAACACTGATTTCTCGCAACTTCAACTGAAAAATGTCAAAACAAACTAATCTCACGGTAGATATCTAGAAGATAAGCTTAAAGTAATCACATTCCCTGTTCTAACTTGCATATATTCCGAATGCTAGACCATCATCAATTCTTTAAAACCCATACCTCTTCACTATGAAACAAGCACAATCATCGATCATCATTTGGGAGGTTTTCCTTAGTAGCACTGTCCCTGTTAAGTTTCAAAGGAACCAATGATGTTCACTAATCACAATCGAATGAATCGATATATATCATCACATGACTTGTAGGAAGATTTCAACCAAGGACCTTTTTAGTCTATCCAAAAACTTACGTAGCAGACTTCAGGTTTAAAGGGGGAATCCAGCCTGCTTCACAACAATTAACGTTGATTCGACATGCATGGATGGAAGCACTTGTAATTTAAGCTCGTGACTTGTCCTATATATATATGTGTGTGTGCACACGATTACATCAGCTGACCAGAAATTATTTTCATTCACAAAGGTTTTGGGTTAATCGTGAGTAAATTTCAATGCTTTATACATAGCTCTATGTAACTACTTATTTTGGGCCTAATTTTTTAAGCCTACCATCATTTTCACCTTCTTCAACTTTACTTTTGACTCTCCCCACTCTCTCAAGAGAACTACACTCTAAATTCCTAATTTCTTTCAATGACTTTGCAGCTACTCAGTGGCTTATGAATTTGAAATCACTTTGCCAAATCCATCTAGTATGTTTCATTCTGAAATCATTTTATCCCAAATCTCTATTTTTGTGAAATATTTTCTTGACCTTTGAAATTGCTTCACATTGAAATGTCACTTCATATTGGAGTTTCGCTTTGGTCTCGAAACAATTATAAGATTGTTCCAATCTTGTCAATGCTCTGAGCTCCAAGCTCATTGACTTTGCAGGAAAGGCCAATGATCACGAGTAATGTTTTGACTTTAAACCTCAGTTAACGTCAAAATTAACCATATAACTATCATTCTTAATTTTCTAACAAAAGAGAGAAAAATCATCCCTAATTAACTTCAAAATAAAAATACAAATTAATATATTAATTATACATTTATCATCATAAGTAAAATACAAAATTAGAAAACATTACATCCTCTTACATCCTCTTCTTATTCTCTAAAAATTTTCTCCCAAATATACTCTCACTGTTTTAGCCTGCTATGTTTTGTTTAAAAATTGTCTCCCAAACATATTCTAACTATTTTAGCTTGCTATCTTTTGTCGGTTGTAGAAAGATTATCCATATTTTACGCATAACATATAACGAATATTTCCCTTCTGATTATTATTCCCTTTATTTATCTATCATACTGGCTAGCTAGTTATTACGAACTTTACTCATACACCCAGTGCCGCGTTCATTTCAAATATCAATCAACTAGGTAAGTCTTTTGGTAAAAAAATCTGCATAAACATTTTGTTTTGGTAAACAACATTAGTTTTTTGTGGATACTACATATTGTAACTTTTAAAAATGGTTTGACATTTGAGTTTGTACTGAAGACTGAAGAGTGTGTAATATGAAGATAAATCTAAGCAAGTGTCATTTATCTTGTTGTATTTTATTTATATTAATATTTTGAAACTTTGCATGCAAGGAACTAGAATCCAAATCCTACTGTCACTTTGCTGCCATTCTATCGCAATGGATGATTCAACATCAACGAAACGAAAAAAGAAGTGAGGAGTTTCAAAATGTGCAATTCAAAACAAACAAATATTTGAGGTCTTCGTGTGTTAGGTTGATATATATATATATATATATATATATATACAAAGTTTTGGGACGCACTGGTCCAGCCTGTTTCTAATTGAAGCCAACCAAAATCCCACATCTACTTTCAATTATTTCTTCTTTTGAGCATTATAGCCATATTATAATGCCAGTTTCATCTTTGATGGCTTGTGTTTAATTACTTCCTAAACCTGCTTTTTTTTTTTTTTTTAATCTCTAACTGCTCCCATATCTTGCTGCAATTAATTAATTATAAAATACGCAGATATAAACAAACTTTGGTTGAGTTTTGTGTTTAACTTTTGACTTTGCGGGTCGAAATATAGCTAGTGGATGAATGTACGTCTCGTATGGAGAAAGGAAGAAGACATGTATTTTTCCTGCTTGGAAGTGCTAGTCACTTGTATTTCTAGAAGCTGAGTGAGTAAAAATGATTTGATTTTTTTTCCTTATAAAGTCAGATCCTAAAAGCCAGTGTGAAAACTAAATACTATTTGAAGTTTAACTACTTTAAAAACAAGTTATTTATAGTTTATAATAATGTCTATGCAAATATATGATCGATTAGGGGGCTCGGGCAAAAATGAAAAATATTCATAGGCACAAATGATTGTTGACATATCTGTAATAATAATTATATGCATGAACACCACATAGGCAACCTTTTTTTCTTCAGACGTTTCTGTCATTTTCGTTTTTATTAATTTCAATGATTTTGAATTGTTAAGTGCATGGTTGTTGTTGTTTTGCTTTTGCTATAAAGAAACTCTTTAAGACCATATGGCCATTTAAAACCTATATAAAATTTCAATACGGATTTTTTATGATTAAGTATGTGTTTGATTGTGATTTTCTTTTTCTGAAGAATAATTTTCAAAACTAAGTTTTAAAAGGGATAGAGAATAGAAAATGAGGCATCATGATAAATAAAAAAAATTCAAATATTCTGAATTTTTCAAAAAAAATTGAAAATAAATTGAGCTCACTTTAAAAAAAAAATCAAAATATTAATGTTGTTTGTTTTTAAAAAATAAAATATTTTAAAAAATGAGAAACAAACAAACCCTAAATTCTTAAAGTTGAATACAACATATTTCCAATCGGATGTCTTCCAAATTTAAGAGACCGATACTGGGAAGTGTTCTTTAGTCAATTTTTTTTTAAAATATTGAATTAACATATGTTTTTACATATAAAAAATTATAAAATATTTGATATCTGAATTATTTTCTCATTGCCTGGTTTTGTAATCATATGAATTCTTTTATTTATAATAGAAACAAACTAATAATTTTATTTCAAATTTTAAATCTACATTAACAAAAATTATCATTCTTTATTGTATAATTGATGAGATTAATAATTTCAAGGAACTAATTAAGTTTACATTAAAATTTTATTTTATTGTCATATTATTTATCTTTGTCATTCCTGATATAAGATTTCGTTTTATACATATATATTATTATAAATATTCCGTATAATAATGGTTAGTTGTTTAATGTTTCATCATTAACATTAGTTTTATTCTAACAGAAATTAAACTGTTAGTATAAATTTTATTTTATGCTAACAATATGTATAATAAATAATACTAACAACACGATACATCAATGATATATATTAATTTCATATACAAATGAAATTATGATAAGTTAATAAGATGTAATGTTAGCATAGGTAGACCAACAAAACTAATAATTTGACCACTTTATATGTGTTTTATAATTCTTATTTAAACTGTCATTTATGTTGTTAATTGATATACTGCTACTTTAAGTCAGATATAACTGTGTTCGAACAATCTAATTAAGAATAGAACTGGAAAGCAACCTTTAAAAATATGAATGTAACAATCAATTTACTTTTTAAAATTATCAAAAATGCATTTTAGTTTTTAAATATTAAATATTGATCATTTTAGTTCTTAATAGTTACCAGATGACGGTCATTTTAATTTTAAGATAACAAAAAATAAAGACTAAAATGACTATGCTTAATAATTTTGAATACAAATATAACATTTTTATGATCTTAATGACTAATTTAATATGTTACTCGTACAATTAATTATATCAATTTGAGGCGGGATTCTTTCTTGCGGTGACATGATCGTTCTTTTATAGAGAGATAAAAGTAATTTTCTTTTACAAATATTACCATGAGATCTGTTATCTTTATCTTTGTAAGATGACTCGCAGTGCCGATTATTAATCATATAACATATTTCGTTAACAACATGACTTAAGTAGAGAGGGTGTTTAGATATTTTAAATATATGGTTTTGAGCTTGATTTGAGATTCATGTGTATGGGGGAAAAAATTGGAAGGAATATTCGATTTAGCATCTGACAGAGATTAATTTTTCCCTTATCAGATAAGAGGATACAAAAAAAATATTAAAAAGCACGTTATTTTTTCCTAATGAATTTTGAATTTTGAATTTTGGTTTACTTATTTGTTTTGAGGGCTTAACACCTCTGCAGTCACCCCACATTATCAATCCCAAGTAATTGCATAACATGCATTAATGAAGCACCTAACTAGGCCGGCCATTTATGTCAAAATAAATAAATATATAGCTAAGTGCTGAAAAAGAAAAAGCGTGGTAGATGCTTGCGATGATCGAAGCTTATCAGAAAGTAAACATGTGATTCCGATCATACAAAGAAAGAATGGAATTTAATATAATTAGTGCCGATGTCTCAACTAACAAAATGCAATGTACAATACATGACAAAGAATGAGGTCAACGGTTAAGGTCATAACAAATATGAGCATAAATGGCCCAAAAATAAATCCAATTACGAAGTTTCCAAATTCCAGCTAAGTACTAACCACCGAAAGAGCAACAAACCAATTTCCACTTTGCCCCTTTTTTCTTAACATCCTCCGAAACTACACAACAACTCAACAAAGTAATCAAACCATACCCTAATTCGGATTCAAGTATATCCTTCTTCTGTATGATTGAAATTAACACTATAATGTAACTAAATTGAACAATAAAAGGCAAGAAATTATTAATCTAAGAAGTAGTTGAATAAGTCTATAGAGGGAGTATGAGGCGAAAGAAAGTTGAAATTGGAAGGGCTAGGCATGACGAAACCACCCTCCATAAAATTTCTGGTACTGTGAAGCACAGGACTCAAATCATGAAGGAAGCTAACCATGGATGGATCAGAAGAAGGAGGAGAGAAAAAATTGGAAGGAATGGGAGAGAGTGAAGCGGGTCCTGGAGACAAAATCCCTTGAAACATACTTTGTTGTCTTTCAACGCCATGACCCATAATCTCTATCCCTTCCACATCGCTTATTATATCACCACTTGGGAGAAGCTGTTTCTTTCCCATAGGGGACATGGCTTTCTCTATGGTGGCATAACGAGCCGCCGGAGATACCATTCCGTCGCCGGAGTTGAAAGGGTCGTTGGTATTGGACGGAGGTTCCGACGACGTTGAGGAGGAGCCAGTTAGGCGTTGAACGAGGTTCATGAAGTCACTTGGTGTGGTGTGGATTATCTTTGGAGAAACGGTGTAGATTATGATGGGTTGGCGCGGTGGAGGTTGGGGTTGGGAGGGTTGTGGTGCCAACGGTGGTTTCTTGATCTTGTGAGAGTCTTTGTGTATTCTCAGTGGAGTGGGACGTGGCCCTTGGAGTTCTCTTCTTGGTGATCTTCCTGTGGGAATGTCTGGGAATTCCATGTTGTTGTGATTTGAGGAGAAAGGGTGAAGAGTGAAGGAGGAGGAGGATGATGATGATGATGATGAGTGGACAAGCATAGTTATTCTAATTTAAACTTGGGAATATAAGGGCTGACATTAAACATATAAAGAGATCTGGTCAATGATGAAAGGGAATTATTTAATGAAAAAAATATACATTTTTGGGTTAAATTTGGCTTCTTCTTAGGTAAATATTTTTTATGAGGTTTTCATACCTACGGCCGGTTTCGTGATGTTATGGTTGTCTGAACGCGTCTGTGTAGAGTTGGAAAGGGTCCTGCTCCCTCATGATGTCATTGTACCTTGTGGTGACGTGGGTTATGGGCAAGTAAGGTGCTCTTGCGGAGTCCTGATATATGCAAGTGGATAAGTGTTGACTAGTTGAAAATGGCATATGTGCTATGTGTGGTTTGTATTATGTATCATTCATTGGGAGTTTTAAGACTCCAAGTACACCATCGTTTTTCTTCAACTAGAAATTCTCGTTTTGTGGATATTATGTGCCTTTTTCATTTCAGGTTACTTTGCGTATAGTTATTTGTTAGTATTTTATACGAAACTTATTGCACGTTTTACAATAGTAATTATTTTCTTTTAACAGAATTGATTAGTTCTATATACATGCCTGTGTCATATGATTAGTCAAATAATATTTAGCGATTAGTTACATTATTTTATTTTGTACAAGCTTATATATTATATTAAGCATTATCACATAGTTCTTTTATTTTATTAATTTATGGTTTTTATTATTTCATTTTTTCTGTATTTTCTGATTTTTGCATGCTTGATTAATTGTTTGCTACGGGAGGATAGAGTCACGAGGTTTAATTTGTGGAGGAACTTGGTGGCAAATGGAGTGAGTCACCTTCGAGTGGGATCCACTTTTCTTCCTTACCTGTTTGATTTCGTCTGAACTTCTATTTGTATACTGCGTCCAAATTAAGTCATAATGTTCTCTTATTGGTAATTGGAACTTGAAACAACAACGAAACAAACAAAATGAATTTTTTAAATTATTAAGTTCAGGTATTACATACGTTTATTATTACGTAGACAAAATATATAAATAGTCTCTTTTCACTCCTTAATAAACAAATAGTCTCTTCCTCAGGATGATCAATGAATTAAAGTAGTTTTCTTTTATAGTACCAAAGGCAACCGAGCGTCCTCTAATTAATATTTACCAATTTAAATATAAACTCAGGAAACGTTTTCTTCCAAATCAAGTTTCAGAATTTTAGAAAATGAATACTTGCGTGTATGTATAAATATTGATTTTTTTAATAAGATGAACGTCAATTTGAATTATGGCAAAATAGGACTCGATTCACGTTATTTAGAACATACTTCAGTCAATGTAACACGGCGTTTATTTTGGCTAAAATGTGTAGTTATGGTTTCTCACGCATAATAGTTAATTATTTGGGGGTACATTTAATTATAATCTTCGTTTAAATTGACGCTGGGTGGCGTTGCGAAATATCTTATTCAAACAGGAAAAATTAAAGGTAGTCTAGAAGTAATATTTTTAACGAAGGTATACAATAAAAAAATTATTAAATAAAATTTTAAACTTAATTCAACAGATTGATTGTATAATTGTGCAATTCATTAATATATTCTGATTCATGTGAAAGTGGCTTAAATCTCCTAAACTAAACATGTGATTTTAAGTTCAATTTTAAATTTTGTGTATAAAATAATCTTTGAAATTAAAGAAGGTGTTTTTGGTTTAGCATTTGATTGTATTTTAGGAAATTATTCTCTCCCCTTTATAAGGGAAGAATACTCTAAAAAAGCGAAAATAATTTGAGGGTAAGTTGCTCATTTTATATAATAATTTCTCATCAAAGAGACCCTTTGCTGACTGCAAAAAAAAATCTATAAAAAACCCAAATATAATAAAAAGAAGCTAAATTATTTTTGAAATATTTGAATTATATGTACATTTATAAATAATTAAGTAACATTATAAAATGAAATATAACTTTGTAATATGTGAAATATTATTTATCGAATATTATAGCACAGTACTGCATATGTTACATCTCTTAGATCTTCTCTGACTGGTCCCTTTACGGGGTCATCTAATCATTTACAAGCATTGTATGATACAATAGGCTGCACTGCAACTTTAAGGCTCGTGGAAAAGTCTCGTTTTGACGGCAAAATGGGAAGCAGCACCCTTTGACTCTTGCATTTATAACGCATACATAATACATCTAATGTAGCCTACACGTTTTGCGTAAGACTTCAAGGTGTTAAATAGGTTCACGAATATATACCCTTTATTTCTCTTCTATTAAATCAAGGTTACCCGAGATTCTTTGCCTTTGGTAAATAACATCCTCGTCATATTGTGCGCAAGACTATTTTTGTGTATTGTTTATGCACAACTCACTCGTATATACCCGTGTAATTTGTGAGATTTTTATTCTATTAAATTTTGAACAAATGTGAACTAATTAGCATTCACTTTTATTGTTATATATCATTTTTTATGGAAGAAACTTTTTGGGTCTAACTTTTTTTACGGAAGAAACTGTTGTAATATGTGTATAATTTTTTTGAACAATTTAAGATTTTAAAAAAAAAAAGCTAATAAGCAACGAACATTAAAGGCATTTTTAGTTCCTACGTTTATCATTAAGACTCAGGTTGTTCTCAGAAATGTTTAATACTTAATAAATGAATCAGTAAAAAGAGTCATTTGTGGATCATCTGAACAATATCAGTGTTAGTGATTCTCGCTTCAATACGTCATCAATACAACTTTTATATAAATCAACGAATGGCCAAGTAAAGAAGACATCTTCTCCCTTTAATTTTTTTTGCATTACTTCTTGACCGTTATTTCTCTGTATTAGTTTCGCCATCAAAAGTCGTGTATCAAGCTTGAAGTTATTTTCCTTAGAGGAGAAAGAGGGAGGAGAATAGATTTTCTTATGTAGTCTTATTGAAATTTTATATTCATTTTTACTTTTAAATAATAAATAATCCACTACTTAATATATATTAAGAGAGATACAAAATTTCAATATAATTTTACAATGTGTAAATTTCACAGTAAATACTTTGTATTAATATAAATTTTATAAATATAATTAAAATAGTAGAATTTGTTTTATTCAACTATAATTTTTGAGTCAGAAGAATATAATTAAAGCGAATACTCTTTTAATATATATGTGAGTAACTTAAGAAAACCTAATTAGATACGATTTAGGCTTCTAGATGATGGATGGATCTACTAGGAAAGAACATTACCGGCTGCTGCCTTCTACAGAGTTACCCTGCATTGCAATCATTCTTACTCCAACAGTCAACGTAGGAGCTTCGAGCAATAGTCAAGAGACTCAGGGACCACATCGGACTCCAATACATGTTAGAGGACATGGTCATGCGAGAAATGCTGAAACGGTCTCTCTCTCTCATGCGTCACTCCAGAAAGAGTAACATTTTAATTCCGAACTGAAAAACACAATCAGTATCGGCAAGGTAAGGCATGTCTCAAGAGTTAAATTTTTAAAAATTAATGAAATGAAGAGATATTAATCAAAAATAAAAAATCATCTTATATTCTTTTTCTATCTCCGAAAGTTGTGATTTACTGAATCTGCATGCCATGTTTGAAAGTTGGATATATTAATCCCACCTTATGACTATGGTAACTTTTCTCGTCTCACATGAATGACATCTCAACCAAACCTCATGACTAACCTTATTGAAGTTGTCAATGAACCGAACTAATCAACATGCAATCAATCCTGAAACGAAACAAGTAGCTTTTAAACATTTATTTGACTTTGATTTTCTGCCTAAGGGATGAATGTCAATGAAATATATAACTAAAGATGATTGCGACATTGGAACAAGGTTCCACGTTTTTTTAAATTAAAAAGAGAGCTCATTGGGAAACGAAATGAATAAAAGGACCAAAAAACGGAAAAAGACAAAATTAGAATCTTTTAGATTTTGTTTGCTATTTTTTAATTAAAATTAAAATTAAAATTTCATCCTAGTGGCTGATAATTTTAAACAATAACATTTTAATTGAAAAAGAATACTTAAAAAATTCCACTTAAAATTTGTTAAAACGAAATTCATAATTAAACCACATGAGAATATTAACAACTCTGTTAGGAACATGCATGGTGCTTCCACTAACTCAGTTTTTCGGAACCTTCTGACGACGGACCATGATCTTCTCATTTTTCCTGCATTCATCATCCAATGGCTCATTTTTTACATTAATTAATTTTATTAAAATAAAATAGATTTATAACTGGGTGAATACTTGACTCCAGGAGATCCATATACTCTGATGATAGACTATTCCAAGGATTTTATTTTGAAAATAAAATGCGTTTGGTATTTCAAGATGAAAAATAGACAATAACCATTGCCCAGCTGCATGTTTAAAGATACAATTATGAATCATAATTATTTAAACACTATTATTACTTATTTTACATTTTTTGTGTCTTTTTATTTCTATCATTCAATTGCATTATATCACCAATTACATTTTTTTTCTCTTTTTGGCTGTGAACATCTTCGTGGCTATCCGTAAAACATTTTCCTTAAAGATAAGTTATAAAAAGCACAGAAAAGACAATAAATAACTACGATTTTTTTACAAAAAAAAAATATCAATAATGGATTTTTAAAACATATATTCTTTAATATATTTTTTTATGATTGGTCATGTTTTTAAAAATGTTAAAAATACTTGCTTGATATTATTTTTTAAATACTGGTATCTTTTGTTCTGATCAACTAAAGAAAAAGTAGTTTTTTTTTTTCAACATACTATCTTTTATATTTGGTCTTTAAGACTTTAACTCAATTAAGCTCTGTACCGGTTAGGTAAAGCCTGATAATGGCCCAATCTGTTTATCATTCCAAAATTGAAATATTGATAGGGCCTATTATGCATTGTGGCCCAGGAAAAATAAAAAGGCTTATCAAAGTCTACAATTTAATTTGTGTTCCCTCTACCGTAATATTTAGTAAATAAGTTAAGGCTTAAATTTTTAAAAGATATATTTAATTAAAAATAATAATATTTATGTATTGGAATTTTTTTTCCCTTGAATGCCTCCTTAAGCGACATTGCAATGGCATCGGATGAGAAAGAAGAAATTGTCAGCATGCCTCTACCACCACATTTTTCATTGTCGAAGGCAAGTTGTGTCACACCAAATTCTTCTCTCAAATAATAACTTATATTAGTCCAACATCTTCCTTGTGAATACCTTTTTCTTTTATCTCCCAGGATTACCTCAAAAAATTTTTTTAAAAAAATTTAAAAAATAAAATAAAATTGTTTTACAGAAAAATGGAAACTTTTGGAAAAAACAAGTTTAGCTCACAGAAACAGAAATCTGCAGTATGCAGGCTCATACCCAGCATCAAAAACTGATTTAAGCATAAAAAAGAAAAAAACTCAGATTTTTGGCATTTTGTAAAAACCATAAATGAACCCAATATAAAATCTCAAGCAAGAGATGCGGTGAGGGGGATTTTTTTTCGGAGGAAGAAAGCAAAAAATTTTGAGAGAGAGAGAGAGAAAAAATTTTAAGAGAGGAAACAACAAACTCTTGAAAATAATCCAAGAAGAAGAAAGGGATAAAAGAAGAGACCAACCATTAACCTCATTCTCTTCATTTTGGTTTAGATCGGGAACGTTTGCTAACTGTATTTAAGGTATTTTTCTCCTTCTTTTCTCCTTTCTTTTTGCTTTGCATACGAAAGTTATCTTGCTCTAGTCGAAACTCTGGTAGACTCTTATAAAAATGAACTTAGGAATAGGAACTAAATGATACAAACATAAAGCTATTCATCCCGAACCGCTTCATAACGTTTCATATCCCATGGTTATCTTTTATATATATTATAATTAAAATAAAGTTGAAAGGACCTCTCGACGCATTGAATGTCGAGAGGAATGAGTGCTTGTACCACTGCACTATTCAAAATTGAATTCCAATGCAATATTCAGCGCTTTTTTTTTTTATTCATCATTATATTATGTTAAATATGTTATTGCTTTTTATTTATTTGGGTTTTGGGCTCGATAGCTCACACTTTAAAAAAAAAAACAAATCATTTTAGGTTTTTTTTTTAGCTTATTTTTTATATACATATATATATTTTTGTTTTGATTATTATTTTTGTTTTAACTTATTTCAGTAAAATTAGTCTATTATCTTTTTTTTATATATATACCTTTAAATTCAATTTACTTTATTTTACGTTACTTTTATAATATTAGCATTTATTTTAATATTTTATTTGATTTTTATTTCCACTTGTAAAAGGTGTTTCTCTTCATAAAAAAATTAAATAAAAAATAAATACAGCAAATTACTTTTTATAATTCTTGGATTTTTTTTAATATCTATTTCATTATTTATTCATTATTATTGTACCATTATTCTTCTTTGTTATTTTGTGTAGATTTAGAATGTAATTTGATATACATGTCTTGTTTCTATTTGTTTTGATGAATGACTTATGTTTCTTATTTTTATCTTTTTGTTGTATAATCAATAATTTAAATAATAATATAATTGCATCAATTTATAATACTAACGTATAGCTTCTCTATCGTCATGTATTATAAATTGATAAAGTCTATGTGTGCCTACGTTACCAAGACTTTATGCAATATTAATTTATCATGTATTATCTTAAATTAATTAGTTAACCACTTTAATAATAAATCAAAGTATATTTTCCTTCTAATTACTAACTTACTTACGAATCAATCAACTAATTTAAATCTAAATTGTTTTATTAATAAAATAATTTATAATGCTAATGTGTAGTGACTCTACCTTTATACACCGTAAATTGTTAGAACCTACGTGTACCAAGTTACCTTAGATTTTATATAACATAAATTTATCAAACAAAGTTTTAATTTTTATTATTATTATTAAATATTTTTTTAATCAATTGAAATTTATTTATTCATTTCATTAAATGAAATTAATTTCATATTTTAAAATTTCTTGAATCATATTTCTAATTTTAACAAATTAAATAATAAATCATTTCCCCATTTTTATTATATGATATAATCTTTTATAACGTCGATGTGTGATTTACATTGCCTTCGATTATCCAAAAATTATAAGAGATTAACGTATAGCTTACGCTATCTTTAATTCTCTTTCAGCATTGATCATAATCAAAATTCAAATTCAAATACTTGATTTACGAATATAGATATTTTAACGATTTGCAATATAGTTGTGTGATCTTTCTTCATTTTCTGTATTGTTTTCTCGTAGGGTACATGTATAACTGTATTATCTTGTATCCTAAACATTATAATTTTACGAAAATGATTTTAATTTTAAAATAAATTTTTCTTTTAATAAACTTAATTATAATCAACTAATTTCATAATTTTTAGATAGAACTACGTGGCTTTGAGTTCCCCATTGCACCCGGGGATACGTAGGAGCGGGAACCGAACCCGTCAAGTCAAAATAATTTTTAAAATAACCCAAATAATATTTCAATAAATAATATTTCTTCTTCTAAAATAAAATAATTAATGTTTAGGGGCTAAATAAATATTTTTCAAAATTAGAATGAATTTGCACAATTAATTTTAGGTAACCGTTTTTAAACGGACGTTGTAGGGTGCTAATACCTTCCCTACACGTAAATGACTCCCAAACTCATTTTTGGTTTCAAAGATCGTATTATATTTAAGTTTTTCCAAGGTTTTTCTTAAAATAAACTTTGGTGGGGACTCCTCTGATACTTTTTAAAAAAATGTTTTTCGCCGTACTGTTGTGACCGCCCGGTTGCGACATTCCTATATAGAAAATCCCATTGTAAGTAAGATAATTAAGGGTGAGCATGATTTAGGATCATGTAAAATTAAATTTAATCCATTTGAAATCATTTACATGGATTAATTCAACCTTAAAATCAAACTACTTTTATCTTAATCTCACGTCAAACTACTTTTAACTACTTATATTTAGTTTTCTTAATTTTTAATAATTTAAATTACATCTCTTACTTTAAAATTTTATCCAAAAATTAATAAAAATATAATATAGGTGTAATATATTATTGATTTATATAAGTTATTGAAGAAAAATATATAAAATATTTAAATAAAAATAATAAATAACATGTATAAAATATAATAAAAACTTTTTTATTTAATTATTTTATATTTTTTTAGAAATGTATACAAATTAATGATATATTTTATCTTTATTATATTTTTATTATTCATTAAATACAATTTTAGATGGGGTGATTAATTTAAATAATTACAAAAAATTATGAAGAATAAATATAAATAATTAAAATTAAAGGAACTACAATTACTCATAAGTTAAAATATAATAACTTAAGCATAAATAATATCAAACTATAAGAAATAGAGAAGTGATAGAAAAATAATCAGTTATCAATTAAAATTTATGAAAAATTATAAAAGTAATGATATTGCATATTAGAGCATGTGTTACTAATATTCCTACTAAATTAAATTTAAAGACAGACTATATATATAAATTCATAATATAACATGTTCATAAAGTAGCCGAGGGAAATGTGTAAATGTATAATTAAAATTGAATATACAGGTTCATGATCTATCTGTATTTAATTTCCCCTTTTCAAATAAATCGAGACTAAATTCTACAGATTGTAGTCAGCATAAGTAAGAGAATCAGTTTCGGTTGCCTGTCTCATATTTGTATTAATTCTTTACATGAAGTTTCAGTCAGAATACAAGTTTACAATTTGTGTGCCTCTGATTATTCTCACCTTCTTGGTGGTTTTTCTTCTTTTCTTGTGTTAAAGAACTTCATGTGCTTCAAACATGGATCCAAATTATAATATCTCACAGAATTCAAGAGAAATAAAATGAATAAAGAAAAAAAAAAGGGTATAAAGTTAAGGAAAGGAACTTTATTATAATTTTTTATTTGATAAGCACAGCGAAATCACACAATATCACTGGATACAACTTAAAAGACCGTACATTTTTGTCATCATAAAGACGATTTAGTTATAAGCAACAGCCCTAACTAGTTTGCTTTCATTATTTTCACTTATGTTAGTTGTATCCTCCACGCCCTGTAGTATTGTATTGAAGAACCCTTCGCCCTGCATATTTTTATGAAAATAGTTATAAGTCAAATGTATCATGAAAAGAAGCAATAAATTTTGAAAAATTAATTTTGATGCTGCATGTATATGACATATCCCCATATATATATATATATATATATATACACACACACACACAGAGAGAGAGAGAGAGAGATGCATAGAATGGAGTTTATTATTTAAAAGCTTTCGAATCAAATATCACTAAATTGAACTGAATTCAAGCTAGATAACAATTCCATTTAAATTAAACTTGAAAGCAGTATAAAATATTAGGAGAGAAAAAACTGAGTCACTTGCATACTTAGTTAAAAGTATTGCTTAATCAATAAAAGCAACAATAATTGGTGTTTAAACAAAGTTAAAAAAAATACTAACCGAGGCTGACTTCGGCAACTGAACCATGAAACACCTCAGCAGTGACATGCAGAGAGGACATGTGCAGCATCAAAGCAACAAAAATTGTTATCATAATGAAGGAGATGTGCTGAGATAACGCCATTTCCAAAATAACGTTCAATGACACAGATGAGGAGTAGTGTTGCTACCTGCTGCCAAATTACTTATTTACATTGGGAGCTGCATGGGAAGGTATCTTACAAGAATATTTAACAAATTAATATAGTTGGTACTTGGTAGGCTAGTTACATGTTTAAATTTTAAGTGATGCCGGTCAATTAATCTTGTTTTTGTAATGTCGGTCAATCTCATCTTTGCAATGTCAATCACAAATGCATCATATGATGATTATAAAAGTATGCTTTAATTGACCAGATTTATAATTCCTTCAATTATTGAAAAGGATAATTAAAAATGGGCCTAGTTTATATAAGTTTTGTAGATTACAAAAAAATAAAAAATCGGTATTTTAAATAGGTTTAAAATAGATCTTAATATTTAACAATTTTTTATTTAATAATAAATAACATTATTTTGAGTAATAATGCCCGATATAAATCATTTTTAAAAACTTGATTTAGCATTTTCAAAGGTTTCAACTTGATTGCAAGTATGTTTAAAAGTCTATTTTATCGAAGGTCTTTTAAATAGGTATAGTGGAACTTACTTCTAAATAAATTAATAGATCAATGCTTATATATAAACCAAAATACTTAAGCTTTTAAATTAATAAATATATAACATCAAAATATTTCAATAATAATAATTAATAATAACAAAAGTAATATGTTTATTTAAATAACCGAGCTCATAAGTTAAAAAGATTGTTTCTAGACTTTTTAATGCATTGAATCTTGACTTTCTTTAAGTAAATATACTTTTTTAAAAAATTAGTCTGATATATTTAACAAATAGGTTTGACCTTATCTACATTCAGACCGCAACAAGTAATTTGACTTATTTAGTAATTTTTCTTTCAGACTTTTTTATTTATGATTATTAATTGGTTTGGTGTCAAAGCAGGTTACTTGTTTTTAAGTTAGGATTATATTTTTGCATGGGCAACTTCAATTTTGAATTTCCAGTCAGCAAATCTCTTAGATTAATAATTGCAATATGCAAGTATCAATTGTGATTCTTATTTATAACAAAAAAGATGGTTATTTAATAATATCATATAAATTTTATTTTTTTTAATAAAAGAGACTAAATAGCTAAAAAAAACAAAAACAAACTACACAAAACTTCTAAAAGACCCTGTGCCTAGAATATCATGGCACAAAAAAGGAAGCTGGTTGGCCTCCCTACAAATATCCTACAATCTAATATGTTATATTACCATTAATCAAACTCCTAATTTCATGAACCCCTAAATCAAAGCGTGAGAGTAAGATTGGACATTATGGATGAGCCCAACAACTTGTTTGCAATCACTTTTGATCCAAATTAGCTAATAGCCTTTGTTTAGGACTAACTAATCCCCATAACATATGCTCCATAGCTCAGTTTCTAATGGGAGCAAGGGTTTATTTTCTTGCTAAAACTAATTAGAAACTGTCCTTTGGTATCACTAATTAATCCTCCATAGGCAGCTTCGTCATTCAATCTAAACACAGCTTCATCCACATTACGCCTCACTTCTTTATTTCATGGTGAAACTATATTTATATTAATAAAGCAAATTTATAAATTGTATACAATTTTATTGAAGTTATATTTTAAGATAGATTATGGTACATTATAGTGGTCAAGATGACTTATTTCCTAATTACAAGTGGCCTGATATCAAGTGACGGCAAATTGACGCACTCCGAAGGTCTTTGAGGAGCAGTATTATTATGAGAAACATTTTAATACTAAAGTTTGTGAAGGTTTCACAAATATTAATGTTTTAGGGTTATAGGAAGGCGTATAGAGTCTTTCTAATATTATATATATATATATATATATATATATAAAATTCTCAATGAAATAATAAATTATATCTCGTTAGATTTAATTTAAATGAAAAATTCAGATTGAATGTAAAAATTTATAGAATTATACCTGTAAGAAGATCATTTTTCTATATATATATATAAGGATATTTCAAGTAAAAGATAGATATTAACAGTAGTCTTTAATAAAAAAAAGAAAAGAAAATGAGCCGTGAGGTAATAACAAGCTCTTTATTTAATATAATAGTCATTATTAATACTTCTCATATCTCATAATAACAATTCTTCTCATTTGATATGTCCATATATATATATATATAAAGTTGAGGTGAATTTATCTTTATTTACACATAACAGTCGTTTTTATAAAAAACATGTTAAACATTATTATGTGTGTGGTGCGTCCAATAAAACTGTCTATATATCAGGAATATTAGTGGCACTTAGGGTGGTGACTTGGGTAAAGTGGTTCCAATGGAGGTGTACTCAAAGCATTCCGATAGTGGACAGTTGGACATACGATTGCGGTCAACAAATAACCTCAAAGAGTTGTCTCCCTTGCATCAGCTTCAAAAATAAATGGAGTAAGGTGATCTTTGACCAAGATCACGTGCTCCATTCAGGATCAGATTATAAGTAATTAAAAATTAATTTTTTTAATATTTTGTTTTTTCTCTTCTACCTAATTGAAGTAGCTTTACGGTTTAGTATTACCAACATCTAATTTTATACATATGATAAAAGGTGGTTGATATTTTATGTTAATATAGCATCATCAAATCAAGACTTTGGCAAACAACCAGGAATTACACTGATCTTGCATGCGCAAGCGCAATCTCCAAAAAGTACTCTCAGACTTGGTTCAAAATATTTTTTTTTTAATAAAACTAAAGTTAAACAATTATTATTTTTTATTTTTAATTGAATATTTGTAAAATTTATGCATATAGAAAATAAAAAAATGATATCAGAGATAATTATATAAAATATTGATTAGTTGATATCTAAATAATAGAACTGTAGCTTAAAAGATTTAACCCCATGTGGAACAAAGAAATGAGCACAAAGGTCAATCGGACCAAAACTGAGTGTTACACTGGAAAGAGTTTTCTAACTTCAATTTTTTTAAATTCAATTTAAGTATTTAAAAGTAATATTTTTTATTAAAAATGTATATTTATTTATTAAAGATATAAAAGCATAATATATTTTTAATTTTTTTTATTATTTTTAGTTAGTTAAATTTAATTCTAAAGATTAATGTTATGTTTGGATCTAATAAAAAATGAGTAAAAAAAGAAGAAGAAAATAATATATTAAGAAAGAAATATACGAGAAATAAGATAAAAATAATATGTTGTTTAAATGGATAAAAATAAAAAACACACCATTGAAAAAAAATTACTTTGCATTTTTTGGATAAATATAAAGAGTAAAAAATATATATTTATGCGATTTTTTTAAAATTCAATAAAATTTTATTTTAAGAAAAAATTTAAAATTTTAATTGATATTTTTATTAATTATGTAATTTTTGAATATTTTATATTATTTTAAAAATTATTTTCAATAAAATATAAAAAATAAAAGATCTCATTACTTTTTTCAAACAAAATCTCACCATTTTTTTGGGAGAAAATAAATAAATATTCCTTTATACTCATATAAAATAAAATATTTATAGCACTATTCCTATAGTTTCATAATCGTCCCTCTTAAAACTTTCTCAGTAAAAAAATTAATAATGATATTACTTTTAGACAGGTCTTCTCTTATATATATAATACACTTATTTTCTCTAATATTTTGTTTATACTTTTATTGCATTTCTTTATTTTTTTTAATGACATTATTTACTACATATTTTTTACTTGTGTTAAAACTTTTTATGTTTCTTCTTTAGCGTGTAAAAATACGGTTGTTTTCAGGAAGTTGTTGGCTATATCGCAACCACCAGGTCTAGAGTGCCCATAGGCCATTGGGACATAGAGAATCGCGCACCGCTCTGTGATCTGTCATCTACAATCATGGTGGCTTTATTTCTACTCTTTCTGGTTTTTGAACTTCAACATTAATCAACATACCCAAAGCACATGTGCCACCTACATACCATTGTACTTAATTAACGGGTGCATGGCGCTCGCTCATTAATTTGTTGGTGCATGCACATTCATTATACATGCATGGTTAATTGAAACATTTATACAGATATAGTATTCGTATTGATCAGGTTAGAGCAAGTAAAGTATGAACTGTTATTTGATTTATTTGAAAATCGATCGTTAGCTATGTTAGATTTCATAAACTAGTTAAAACTTTACCGAAACATATAAAACAAAACAAATATGGGAACGAGTTTGAGACGTGGAAGCCACTGATCCTCAACCATGAATACGTATGATGGCATCTTTCGTGAAAGCAACGTTAAACCCCCACGTGCCTCGAATGTTCCCTTTAGATCGAATCTCCACTCTTATGACTGCTACCTTTAGCTGCACCGTGCTCTCATTATGTTCCTTTGATGTGACATTAATTCGCTTCTAACCTAATTGTATTTTAAATCCATATATAGCAGCTCCATATAAGTATGCATGGCTAGCTATAGCATGAGTTATGGTAAATGGAAGCTCTCCAATTATACATTTCTAGTTGAGAAATTTTATTCTTATTCATTATTTTTAGAACTGAAAAAAGAGATACGAAGAGTAAATTAACAATAAGTATGAGATAAAATAAGTAATGCAATACAAAAGAAATATTGTAGGAATAAAATAACTTTTTTGTAACTATGTACTTGTTAATCTCAACTTGGTGGTCATAGGACGAGAGTGAGGATTTATATTTTTAGAAAAGGTGATACAATATATGACTTTGGAGTCTTGGACAAATAAAACGATGAGCCAAAATCCTAATGCCACAGGCTCTAAAACAGAAGCCTCAGATAAGTATTTAGTTGATCAGAAGGTTGAATAAGCAATTAATTAGACTTATTTTCCCGAACTAATGTTTAAGAGATGAAAACAAAAGATTATGTTATTGTTTAGGTTGAATGATTGGATCCTTTGAAGGAAGGTGCTACAATTCCTCACTTATTTGGAGTCAATGAACTGGGAAATTCAGTGGAGGGGAAGTCAATAGGTTGACCGGTATAAGGTTGATGACATAAACAAAAAAGAATTCACATAATTGCGACGAAATCCATGGTCATTTGGGGATTTAACCTTAATAAAGAATCAGATTAAGGATGGAAGATGTGCCACGTATCCCCGCTAAGCACGTGCTGATGCTTCGATCAGTTCCATGCCCGCAACGCTAGCCTTCCATGATGTGTATATGCTGTATATAGTATATATGTGAAACTTCATCCATAAACCGTAATTCCCTCCTCCGCATACAGTACACTGCATTGTCTCACATTCTCTTGCCGACCTTTATTGCCCTCATATACTTATGCACCCAAATGACGCATTTGCCCCCGTCCTTCTGCATTTGGAAATGCAGTGTTGATTTTAACCAAGATATGTATGAATCTTCCACCATTTTACATTTTGACCACAACACTCTGAAATAAGGCATTATTCTTGGGTCATACACTGATACAAATATACTAATTAGCAATCACTCAAATATTTAATCAATTTATCTACAATAGCATACACTTTTCTAGTTTTGAAACTTATGCAAAAATTCTTGAACTTTTTCCTTAATCAAACTTAAGAGGAAGCCATGCATCAAGTTAACTGGAATGCAATTGTTCATAGTTTAAAGGAATACTTGATTTCGAAAACTTGTTATGTATGAGTTTTGAACATAATATAAACATGTTATGTGTGACATGGGCAATTGGTAATTTCAGATAACTTGACGAGTGGAGAAGCAATGCTTTGACTTATGAACCTCACAATGACAAAGAAGCCCGAATGAAGAAAAGGCACGCGAGGGAATGAGACACGCCCCATCCGCCTATGAAACAGCACACCATAACATGAAACTCACATCAACATCACAAACTCACACACTAACACATGCACACCCTTCCTTAATATTAACGATTCCCCAACCGCCCACGTTCCTCTCCACGATTTCCCCCACACATATATTCACACATGCTCTCGCTTACTCCGAAGCCCCCACCCACCCCCCCGCGCTCTCTCTCTCTCTCTCTCACACACACACAATTCCCATTTCACCATATCCAAATAAATGTTCCCACAAATACACAGCATTATTAGCGGTTCTCAGCTAGAGCGTATGTTGCATCAGCTTCCATTGCCGACCCCAATGGAACGATCAACTTCAAGGTGGAAACCAAGTCTTGAGGTAGCACCCAATTGTCCTCGTTGTGCTTCCACCAACACCAAATTCTGCTACTACAACAACTATAGCTTGTCACAACCCAGATATTTCTGCAAAGGTTGCAGGCGTTACTGGACCAAAGGTGGCTCTCTCCGCAACGTTCCCGTCGGTGGTGGCTGCCGCAAAAACCGCCGCGGAAAGTCCTCGAGGCACCACCAAAGCGACAGCGTTTCCATGAATAGCTCTGTTTCTGAGGACAGAGAATCATCAATTTGTAATGGCCAAACCAATGGTTCACGTGACATAGACATGGCTCTCGTGTTCGCCAAATTCTTGAACCAAAAACCCAGTGAGGAACCCGAGAGTGAAGGTAGCAATGGGTCATCGTCTTCCAACAATTACTTTAGATTTGAAACTGAGAATGATACGGTAATCCAAAATAAACCTTTATCTGATCCCATTATGGACCCTGCAATGCTAACAATTGAGAATTTTGGAGCTGAGGAATTGAGTTTTAGTGGGATTGATGAGTTAGAGGGGTTTCTGGGTGGTGATGAAAATGTTCTGTGGGGTGATGATGCTACGGTTACCGTTTCCTCTTCCATTACTTGGGAACCACCCGTTATGCAATTGCAGGAGTTGGAATACTCCATGCCGTTAAATGAGGATGGTCAATTGTTACCCATTAGTTCTTCATCTGCAATGAATTCGATTAGCAACGGTTGGAGTACTTGGAGTTCCTTTGATATTTCAACCATGCAGCAAGTTTTCGAGTCAAGACCTTAATCAGTTAGATCTCATTTTCTTTATACTTGACATTTCTAAGTTGTATTGATTCTTCTTCCGATTATTATTTGAAAGAAGAGAAGAAAGAGAGATAATTAATTGCTACGTTACATATGTTCCTATTAATTAAGAAATTGAAAAACAATAGAATGGTATAGAAAATATTTATGTTTAGTTGATATAGAATAAAGTTGTACTTCGGCTGCATATAGCCATATCAAGGAAATGTAGTCGAAAAATGTTTACTCGGATCTGATATAGATATTATAAATTTAAATTTTATTTTTTTTATATAGTTTGTACTCTAAGTCGATCTTCATATCATACATATTACATACTTGTGGATAATGATTTCAGTGAAAATTTGATTTAGATCAAACAATACCTCATTTCAAGCGTGTAACGTGGGTCAAGGGAAGGACAAGGAAAATTAGGATTTGGATCCTTAGCCTTGTCTACCATTGGATTTACATTCGATGATTATTAAAGGTTGCAATAATTTTAAAATTGGTCAATCCCACATTTTTCAATAGTGAATATGATTCTACATTAATCAATGTGTTTCTGCAGAAAGATGTGTATAACGTGTCTGAGTTCTTGGAGATGCAGAGACGAATGCTATGGGAACACCGTTAAATTTGTAAATTTAAATTTAAATAAACTTAATTTTATTAAATTAATTTTACTTACAAATGAGTTTAAAATCACATGATTTATATTTAAAATTTCGCTCTTCAAAGCATTTTGTGTTTATTTACTTCTTTTGCACAAAATAGTTATAGCAAAACTACTTTGTGGCAGATAAATAACAAAATATGAAAAAACAAATGGTAATTCAGGGGCCTCTATAATACTACAGATATGTTCATAAAATATTTTGCTATCTTTTTTTTTTATACATTTCTGTTTTGACTTGATTAATATTGAATACATATGACATATTTCACCAATAATGACGAGTTTAAAGCTTGAACCAAGAGGATCCTTTTATTTTTAAAATATGTATGGATAAATTACTTACGATATTTAATTATCAGAAAAGAAGTTACTATTTTTCTACATTCCATATAAGTATTATTATTTTCTATAGAATTCATCATGATTTTAGATATTATTCACAGATTTAAAAGTTAAAAGATTAATTTTATAAAATAAGAAGAATTCAAAATAAAAATTGATATTGGTACTAATAAAAATTTAACTTATTTAATAAAAATTAGAAGTGAGAATGTCCACTTCCTGTCGAGATCCCAAAAGATTATACGAGTATCCATGAATTGGGTATTAGATTAGAAGTGTTTCTTGATGCTATCCTTTGTATCCAAAATAGATAAGTCATGATAGCTAAGACGGTATGATGCATGGGCAGCATCCAAGCACGTGAAGGTGATGCAAACGATTCGTTTTGGATGGGAAAACTTTCCTGCTGCATTAGGGTTACATACTGCTATTATTTATACAATATTTATTATAGTATTATTTTTTCATCTCTTTCTTTCACATTAATCATTTTTTATTTACAAAACATTTTATTTCACAATTATTTTATTTTTCCATTTATCGTTATAAAAATTTATGCAACCTTTATATATAAATCAATTATATATAGGGCATATGAATATATGTCTTAGTAAGAGATGATACAGGAAAGAGTATCCCACACCTAGCTTGCTTATATCGTTTTTTCTCTCTTTTCTTTATAGATGGAATGAATCACTCTTTCATATCGATTACCCGCATCACATACTAGGTAACCGTGCACCGACCATATTAAAGGTCACAAAATCGATTATTACGTGTGCAATTTAGACAACAGGTACTGTAAGACAATCCTATGCAGTTGTGCCTTGAAAGAAGCAACTTGTTACTTAGCTTTATTATGAGAATAATGTAAGCATATCTAAAATACTGAAGGTTTCATATCTTAAATAAGTTCTTAAGAATATTTAGAGTTGTATAAATTGATTAAAAAGTCAAAAGGAGAACGCTGTTTTAGAAAAAAATAGTATTTCTTAATACTAAATTTTTAAAAAATAATGTACTGTTTAAAGTTAAGGCAACATAACAAAATTACTTTAAAATTAAAAAAAATAATTTATTTGAGAAAAACATGAGAAGTATTTTGTTTGAGGAGTTTTTTATTTTATTAATTTAGACTACAGTTGTTTTACATTAAAGACAATCTTATTTAAATTAAATAAGATTATTATAAATAATAAAATTCTCCTTTTAAGTATTTAAAATAGTTCTATTTACTAATATATAAATTCGATATTATAAATTAAGCTGAAACAAATTTTATTAATTAATTCACGTGTTTAATAATTTTGTTTAAATTTTATTAAGCTGAGTGAAAAAATTACATTTTATTTGAACATTAAAAAGATTAAATTTAAATTGAACTTGTATTTTATATATAAAAAACTGAATTGATTCGAATTTGATAAAGAAAAATATAAATGATTTAAAGCTCAAGTTTTATAAATTAATAAACTTAAGCAGATCGACTTAATAGAACCGACTTATTTTACTAGCGTTAAATTACATAAAGTAGTTATTTCAATCTAATCTGTATGGCTGGTTAGCATTCATTCACGAGCTTGTACGTATATGGCGTTCATCTGTTTTGTTTAAAGCTTCGTCATGCATATCAATCAATCACTGTGCAAGCATACTCCATATCAAATAATACTAGCTAACTACGCACTTTATGTGAGCATATGACGCATTTCATTTATACCGAGAACATTGTAAGCCAGCATTTTCTCGAGATCATTAACGAATTTTTAGATTAATCTCTAGAGGTACAAGGGAAAAAATTGTAGTTATAGCATTAAGAAATTATTAGTTAAGACTGTGACAATCATATATATACATAATAAATTATAAAATTGTGACATTTTAATTGCTAATTTTTAAATAAATAAAAGTATTCATACCTTATTATCTAAAATATATCATTTAGTGATGAAGAATCAAATTCCTAATCTTTTAATGCGTGTCCTGAGTTTCTCCATGCGTGCTACCATCTTGAAAGTTATGGGACTCGAGCAACGCCAACACTGCATGTCAAGCACCAAATTGAAATTTTATTTTGTTAGAATTATATGTAGCAACTTGTTACGATGTTAAACGTTTCAAATTAATATGTATCAAATTTCTGATCTCTGATGTGATATATAATTGGAAATCAAGAATAATGGCTTATACATACCTGAAGCTGCTCCTGGATAGGTGTCCAAAACGGTACGGATTGCTTTTATGACTTTCTACAGAGATTTAAGACTTCAGTTAATCACCACAGAATTAGGAATACAGCGCAGTTAACGCAAAAATTGTACATACAATTTTATTTTTACTTAAATAAAAATATATTTATTTAAACAAAAATATAAAAAATGACAAAATTTCTTTTACAAAATTAACTTAAGTAAATTTTGTTTAGCTTAAACAACAAATTCGTTTAAATAAATTATGTTAACTTAAACGAATTTTATATTTTTTCTCTCGAACTTCTCTTTTACTTTTTTTCATATCTAACACTCTTTCTCCAGCTTTCATATTTAACCTTTTTTAATTTTCATATTCAATCTTCTTCCTTCACTTATATCTAACTCTTTTGTTCCTTTTTCAACTCCCTCTTTCCTTCATTTCATGCCCAACTCTTCTCCTCTTCTTCTTCTTCTCATTCCACCCTACCTCATACCTATATCTCTCTCTTTGTTCCATCCCAAACTCTCCACTCTCCTCTCCCTCCACCACCACCCTTATACCACTCATCTTCTTATCTCCATCTATTCTCAATTCTCTCTACCTTCCATACCTAGTTTTCATATTCTCAAATGCACAAAACTCGCTTAAGCTAACATAATTCGCTTAAGCCAATTTTGCATAAAATTTTTTATCTTTTTTTGCATATTTGTTTAAACAAAAATGAAACTGGACGTCTAGTTTTTGTGTTAATTGTACTGGATCCAAATCCTAGAATTAGATGCACGCATTCAAGTACAAATTTTTAATAAAAAAATTTGTTACTAAAATATTCTTTCACACAATATTTAATATAAATTTTTTAATGTGGAGTGAAAAACATAGGTTAAGAAGTATTAAAGAAAGTATACATTAAATATTTTTTTATAATTTTGAGATAATAATTTTTTTAATAAAAAGTATTTTTAATTTCTTACCGTACGATTAAAAAAACTATTTAGCACGATTGTTTTCATTCTTCAAGGTGTAGTAGTGGCTAAATTATTTTCCTTAGATTTGTTATATCACCAGTAAATTTTTTGCTCCTTCAAGGATTTGAAAGGTATATAACGCTAGTAATGTATGTAGCTCCTTAACCTAAAGTGATTATGAAAATCCTTAATTAAGAAAGTTATAATTTTTTCATAAGATATGTAGCTTTTGACCTAAGAATAAGCACTTGAATAAAATCCTCTGTCTATCATTTAGATGAGCTTATGGCTAATTAGTTTGTCTGAACCGTGATAAAAAAATAACACTTGAAAATGGATCGCATGTTCTTCAGGAAGTATATAATTGGACAAGCTCAGAGTCAGCATGGAAAAGAGAATAGGCAACATGAGCAAGTTTATTTTTGTTTTTTGTTTTTTGGTATATATGCAATTTATCTGGACTAATTGGTATTTGATTTTATATTCAAATTATATAGAACCTCAACTTTGATATACCTTTTCTTTTTCAAATTAATTCGTACGAGGTTGAATCTAATAAATAAAAAGTGACAAAAATTGAATTAGGAACACACCAGTGCTAGTTCACCAGGTTTTAGTGGAAGTTCTTCCATGCCGACTATCTTGCTGCACATAGCCACACACAATCATTTCTTCCGTTTAATGAAAAGGTAATGATTATTTTAGAAGGTTAACATGTTTAGAAACCATAATTTTAATGATTCACCATACACAGAAATAGTATTATGGTGTATATACCGAATAAGCAATCTTCCTTCAACTTCTTCAAATGTAAAGAATCTGCATCCATTTGTGTAGGGTATCTTCTTACGATTCCACGCTGCGAAAAATGTAAATGTGAGGTATTCTTTAACACACATATCCGATCAAGTTATATATATACTGTATGTTCTGTATTGTCTATTGAATAAATTTTATAATTAATAAATTACTAATATAATTAATTATGATATAATATTAATAAAATAAATATAAGATTGGTTTAATTTAAAAATCATTAAATAAAAAAATATGTGAATTGACAAATAAAAAATGTTTGAAATAAAAGAATTAGTGGGGTGTTGATTTGACAAATACCGGCCCCCCTTTTTATTAAATAATTTTTAATTATTGTGTTGAGAGATTTCCTTTAAATCAAATTTTAACATTTAAAAGAATTAATATAATGGGTTGAAATTTTGATAATGTAAAAACCAATTTCTTAAAATATTTAAAAATTGGAGCATAAATTGAAGATAAAAATAAATAAATAAATAAATATCTCAGTAAAAAATAAAAAGGCTACCGTCCGTGGATTTAGCTGAACTGGTGTTTATTTTGAACCCAATTTCACTTTGTTTTGGTCAGCTGTTTATGTAGAAAATGAACCAAGAAGCCAAAGAAATAAACCCAATTCCAATTAGAGGTGGTAAGAACATGTAATGGAAGCCTATAGAGACTGAAGGCTTCACCATTAGCCCACTAAAAGGCAAAGTATCGGTCAATTAAGTTGAATATCATAATTGGACCCAAAATAACATAGATCTTGAGAATTAGAAACAACCCTCAATGGTTCACCGAAATCGAAAAAATGAACACCCCTGAATGATGAATAAAGTGATGAATTGGGTGAGTGAAGTCGACTTAAAAAAAATTTGGACCAAAAAAAATCGAGCAAAAACAATAAAGGAAGAACAAAAAGATTTGAGTTAATGAAAGTGACGTACCTAAGTGCCAAAATACAGTAGCATTGAGGGGGTTGTTGTCCATTTTGACATCGTCCAGTAAAACTTTAGTATTTTGACCGAAAGCATCCATCGAGTTCTGCAATAAGTTTATGACGTTCTGAAAAAGTAAAATAAAAGCATTACAATAATTAAACAATCACCAAATTTATTGGTGACATTGGCACCGTGAAATTCTCAGCAGTCCATAACGCATATGCTCGAATCTATACACAATTCTTGCTAGCTTCATTAGGGTTCATTCGTGAATTTGCTTGATGTTGTTATCATTAATTCATTATTTATTAGGGTCTTATCATAAATATCTGATTAAGAAACATTTAACATGCTTTATTAATTAATTTGAATTATTCATAAAATATATTAAAAATTATATTTGTATTTCATTAAATACTTTATTCCTTAAAATTTTCTTAACCAATCCAATACCATGCTACCATTTATTATTCTTTTTATAAGGTAACATCTAGAAAATATCGGTAGTCTATATTATAAATTTTTAGTTTTTTCATTTAACTCCAATAAATAGAGTTGGTGGGAATCATATACATTTTAAAATTAAAATATTAAAAGTGAGATTATATTAAATTGAATGATATTAAATGAAAATAATAAAATTGAATGTTTTTAAAAGAAAAAAGAAAACTAAATATTTAAATTACTTCTTTTATATGATTTATGTAATTCAATCGAAGATATGTTATATATAAAAAAAGGGGGAAAATATTAAGTAAACATAATTTTACTGGGAGAAAGAGAAAAGAGATAGGAGATAGGAGATAGGAACCTCTTTGCCATGGTAGGGGGTGTAGAAGAGGGAGTCCTCGTACACACACTCGGAAGAAAGTAATTGCTTCAATTTCTCAATCTCTTTGGCATTGAAGGCGTCGTAGAAAGCTTTGATAGTGTTCTTTCGTAAATCTGGTGACACAAAATGAGGGTCTACCTCGCACCTTGCTTTCCATTTTTCATTTTGGTACTGCTTCCATACAAATGTCAAAGGAAAGAACGCACGCTTTGCAATTTGGTGTTTGTCAAGAAAGTTGCTGAAATGGTTCTTATTGTATGATTGGGCAATGCATGGTCGTGTGTTAACGTTGTTTTTCCAGCTCATGCTCCTGCATGCTCCTGACATTTGGGGTAGTGATGCCATTGCCATGGCCCAGAGTTTTTGGAAAATTGAAAGAAGATAGTGTATCCCAATTATCTTATTATTCTAATTAATTACTTGTCAAGTGGTTTTCGTATCTATTTTTTCCATTCAAGAAAGGAATGGATGCTATCCAAATTAGCATATGCTTTTTGCTTGTTTCAAGTAAGTTCCTCATTAGAGGGCCACAGCTCCAAGCAAAGAACTAAAAGACAAACTCTTTATAAATTTTATTCAAATGAATTTTAAAAATTGTACAAAAATCATAAAAATATAAAATAACAAACTTATCCTTATAAGATGGTAATAATAGTGATAGAGAGAGACAATCATGTTTTTTCAATGAGAATTTAATTTCAAAGAGTCTAATTAACTTATATGTTAACTCAACTCAAATCATGGATTTATGAGTAACATTAGTGGACTGAGATGATTTACCTAATCATTCTGGTAAATTTTAAAGACATACTACTAAATAGATTCCAATACACATAAAGAACAAATAGATGTATCTTACATTTGTGATTGAAAGACTATGTCAAAGAACTTGCTAGTGCAGAATCAAACGACACACTATTATTATTGTGCCAGATAATGCAACGACAAATAAGGGTCCCTCAATCTTAAAATATCATGCTACAAGAATGTCTGCTTTCCTATTTTTCATTCACGATTTAACGATGAGAGGTATGCAGAATGCAGTGGTACTGTTGAATCTAACCGTTTAAATTTATTAAAATATGTTATTTTAAAAATATATAATATAATAATATATATTTAATACTTGAAATCAAATGTAATAGTAAAGTTACATGAGAATAAAAAATACTAAAATATTATTTAAACCTTTTATCTTTATAATAATGTTATGCATCGGAGAAAAAAGTTCTCTTTATTTTATCAGTAACAATTTTTTTATTATCATCGTGTGCTTTATCTTTTTTTCTGTACTATATGATGACCACTTTTAAAATCAAGCGAAAATTAGTTTAATTTCTTTTGTTTCGTTTAGTCCTTCACTATTTTGCAAATTAAACAAATCCTATCGGGAATGAATCATCACAAAATTATAAATAAAATAAAATAAAATAAAATAATCACATTATAAATTTTGAAAATAAAAATACATAATAAAAAACGAAATAATAACAATTTATAACTGAACCTCACGCGTGACATTAATAATATTTAGTATTAAGCCTTTTATTTGATTAGAAAATAATTTTTGTCGAACAGAAATTTTTAAAAGATAAAAAAAAATAACAATTAGTTTAGCATCAGATTTTACTGGTTTTAAACCAGATGGACTGATGCTTTTTTTCTTATTCTAACCTTGTGTTGTTGTTAAAATTCTTTGCCATTGAAAGATCACTCTCATATGCTAATGAATCCTAACCTATTGTTCTATTTAAATGATTTGAGTTCATACTAAGCAAGTTTGGTCTATGAATAGCACCACAAAAGATGTTTTGAAATTAGCAGTTTTTTAAAATTAAACAGCACTTTCACTATTTTTGTGGTTGAACTAGTTTGTTCAATTAAGGATGACTTTTTAAACATGACCTCACCCAAATCGCTCATATATTATTATATAAATTTGTCCAATAATTGAATGGGCGTAAAGACTTAAAAGATACTAAACTGTGGTTGAAGGTTTAGGTCATTCGAACTGATTTCAAGATTTTAATTTAATTTGTCCACTACTTTTCTACTTGAAGAATTTTGTACTTTTCTATATGTTTTTGTTTCAAATCAAGTCGTAATTTTTTAAATAAAAATTTAAGATGGATACGAAGTAGATAATTCCAACTATATTCATGACTCTTAATTTTCATGATTTTGAATATATATGAAAATATAATTTATTTAAAAGAAGTGTTTGGTGTAAGTCAAAACTTGCAATAATGGTATTTTCAGTAATTTTATAAATTAAGAGAGGTTTTATGTAGGTTGAAAATAAAAATAATTTAAACAAACAGGAAGATAAAATAATTATAAAACAAATAAGTCTGTATCTTTTCTTTTTCCTTGACAAAAAGAATGAGCAAGTCAACTTTTAAGAAACTGTTAGAAGAACCAAGTACCAAAAAAACTAAACTGGGAATATAAAAATTGGAAAGAATTGTTATACACTCATCAAATGTATAATCTTAATAACAATGTTTTTATTGCACTCTTAATTATTAATTAAAATTTATTAAAAATATAAAAATAAGATAAAAATTATTAAGTTAATAATAAAAAAATGAAATACGTGTTATTTTTGTAATTTTTAATAAATTTTATCTAATAGGGTATATTAAAAAGAAAATGTATTATTGGCAATTTTTTTAACCATAAATAGAGAGAAGAGCATGAAATTAAAAATGTGATGAAAAAAAAAGTTAAGTGAAAAATAGAGAAAAAATAATGTGCAAGCATATAAAACTCTAAACCAATAAAAATTAGTCACTAATCTCTGGTTGTGGTTAGGGAATCAGTTGCCCCCACCTTCCAAAACCAGAGCTTATCCTAACCCTATGGCCCACACGATCCCTAAACAGATACCCAACTTGTTTTCATCCCCAAATCACTCAACATCTCCTTAAGGCCTGTGCTACTGAGAGATCATTTTCTGTCTCCAAATTTTTCTCTCTGTCTTTTTTCTTCACATTAAAGTTCTCTTTGCTGTTCTCCAACAATTATTTCCCAACATATCACACACAGTAAAAAGAAGTCACCTATAATAATTCAGTAATTATCTCATCCCAATCAAAATCCCTGACCCACATTTTTAGCTACATTCCAATGTTGGGTATGGACCAAAAATAGAATAAAATTTATGGGCATTTCCTTAAGTGATGTCAGTACTGTTTATTAATCAAAATTAGAGTTTTATTTTGATAATCTCAGATAACATTAAATACAAATATTTTATTTGAAGTAAAATTTTAATGTTAATTGGTAATCAATGCTAATAGCAACTAAGTGAGCTGCAGAATTTTCATTTTCATGTAAAATGATATGATTAATGATATAAGCTATTATTAAAGTAATAATTATCTTCAGAGAGTTAGATTTACATCACTATTAGTTGGAATCTGAAGAAGGTTTTGCATTAGAAAAAAGGCATGAATGCAATGCACCTATATTTTTGTCCCTTGGGAAGGTCGCAGGCTGACTTTCATGATAAGAAACAACTTTATCAAATACAAGATGATTTTGAGACCTCACCATGCATATATAACAGAAAAGGTTGAAGCTGTGGTTTCTGTCACATTTTACTTATACATGTTCATCATTTTTTATTAGGTGCTGCTTAGTCCATCTCAATACTTCGATTCTTATGCCAAGTTAGATGAACCATCACTATGTCGGCCTTGGAAATTCGTAGCAACTCCCGTCATTTGCACCTAAAAGGAAGGGAGAGGGAATCGAAAATAAAACTGCTGTCATGTCTTTCACATGTACATAACCACTTTCAGCAAGTAGTTTCATTCTTTATACAATATAATAAGATATAAATCATACACAAAAGGAAAATATAGTAATAAACTATGTATTTAAAGACTGCCAATAACAAGTCGGAATATAAAATTATACAATATAATAACAACAAACAATTATGTTTTCCTAAATATTTTTATATAATTTTGGCACAAGGTTTATGGAATTCATTTTCTTATGTGTATGTTGATTACATGTAGGCGAAATAGATGGGACTTCAGACCACCACCTTGCAGGCTTGCTAGTTACATTTTTAGGTCTCAATGTTTATCCATCATAGGAATGTTCTGTCAAATTATAGTAGTTTTTGCCTTTTCTATTGTCCAAATAGGTATCTTGACACAAATAGCAGCACATGCACAGGACCCAGTAGACACTAAAAAAGGCCAATCAAGTCATTTTCGCAGCGGATTTTTCTTGCAATAGATCTTGTATACT